CCGTGAAGCCCATGAAGGTGGTGCAGGCAGCAGCCCATAGAAATGAAATGGAAACACCACCCTATGCATGAGCACACACACACACACTCACACACCAGACACATACACACACACACTCATATATACATTCACACACACTGGGCATATGATGTGTACCCAGACCTTACTAAAACTGATATTGGCTTGATTTAGAGAGATTCGATTTTATGCTAAACAAATTTCATCAGAATTTTCATATGAAGAGTCTATGCCTCCCCAGATGTGCCCTGCTTGGCTGCATGCTAATGTGGTCAAATCCAATCTCCGAGTTCTCTGCAGGTCCCATGACTGGGTTCTCAGGACTCCACTCCTGGCTGCTGGCTGAGCCTGAGGGAGGCAGGTGCTGTCACAATGGGCTTCTAGGTACATGGAGCCCAGAGCACAAAGGAATGAAAATGGAGAGCCAGCTTGGGGCAGCAGGCTGTGTCCCCCAGGAGCCAAGGCCAGAAGGACCCAAAGGACCCTGGAAGCTCAATCAGTGGCACAGTGAGCCCCATGGGGCCCTCCATGGGCTTCCATTGTTGAATTTCAGTCCATTCAATAGAAGCAATTCGCCTATCATGCACTGAGGACCTACAGAGTGACTCAGGCCCTTGGGCAGATCATCATTGTCCCGGGTCTCTAAGAAGTCCAGGGAGCAAGGTGCCCAGACAGCAAGTAATACAAATACAAGATGCCTAGTTGAATTCTAACTTCTGAAAAATAATGAATACTTTCTGAGTATATGTATGTCCCAGGTGAACACAGGCATGTCCAGATGGAAAAGTGGGCATGGCTTGAGCATTACCGGCACCCACTGTAGGTAAAACTTCTTCCAGAGGAGTGATGGGAATGCACCCCCTAATCTTGTGCTCTCACTGTATGTTCTGGAAAACCCTGCTTTCCTCTCTGCAATTAGAGGGATGCCCGCTGCACAGGCTCTCTTCCCAGGCCTCTCAGAGGACGTGGTGAGCCAGCGGAGAAGGGAGGACAGGATGAGCCCCTCCATGGTCAGTGGTTGGGAAGCAGCATGCATTTGGGATGGGGGGCAGAGCTGAGGCTTTCTCCAGATGGGAGAGGCAGCTTTGGCCTTGCTGGTGGGGGTGGGGTGGGATGGGAATCCCCTGTTGTCACAGCAGAGGGGCGGAGGTGGGGGCTGGCCTACAGTTATTAAGAAGTTGTCAGGGCTTGGCTACCGTCTCAGGCTGAGCAAGTGAAGTCAAGTGGAACATGGGTTCCTCAACCTCAGAGGCCAGGGAAGCCCCTTGCTCCTGCCCTGAGACTGCAGGGGGTGGCAGAGGACAAATGCTTGCATCCTTACACTGTCCTGTCACTGTCTTTCCAACATCTCCAAGTGGGAACCCTGGAGCCTGCATCAGCCTCACCTGGGAGATGGACAACATGTGGCTTCTGCTCTTGCCAGGACCTGGACTTGCATTCCAGAATATTGCTTAACAATGCCATCCCTGTGTGGGCATCCCACTCCAGCCTGATGACCCCTGGATGTGACAGCGTGTTCCCTGTGTTTTTTCTGTCTGTCCCCAGCCCAGGCAGGGAGCTCCTCTGTGCATAGACAAAATGGTTCTCTGTCCCTGAGGTCCTGGCACAGGGCTTGGCTCATCATGAAAAAATAATGAGGAGTGAATGAATAAGTGATATGTTTAAATACTGCATCACGTTGGTGGGGGTGGCAGACTCTTGCTTGCTTCTTCCCTCCATAAAATCAACAGAGATGATTTTAATCTCATGGCAAGCCATCAGGCAAACACCAGATTCAATTTTACAGATGCAGAAACTGAGGCTAACATTGGCAGAAAGAGGGACTCCAGAGCCCTGCTCTTATCCACGATGTTCACTGCACATACCTGTCCTCTGATACTGTGCTGTGGCTGGACAGTATGGCATGGCTTCTGCTCTGGGTTCCCCTGGTCTCTGCTGGACAGGCCTGTGCCCATGTGGCCTTCACACCTAAGTTCAGCCTGCCAAGTGCTCGTAGCCTCTTCCCTGGTTGCTCCTCTGAGGGGGGCCTTGGGGCCCAACCTTCTTTTCCCTCCCCACCCCTCAAGCTTCTGCTCTGGACTTCCTTCCACCACTGACAACTGTTGGGGCTCCCAGCCCTGCTGGCCAACTTCTGAAATACTGAGGCCAGCAGGAGCCCCCTGTCACTGGAGTTGCAGAAAACCTTTGGACTGTGGGCCTCTGCTTCACCGGGGGCTCTTTTTCTTGCCCCCATCCTGGGCCTCCTCTGCTTCCCCCAACTCCCCAAACCCCTCACACGCTACTTCTGACCCTGCTGGAGCCAAAGTATAGCCAGGTTTGTAATGGGGACCTTGGGTGGCCCTATCCCCTTCAGGATTTGCATGCAGAGCAGCTTCCCTCCTCTGGGTATGGGAGAGCTGGTTGTGCAGGAGCTCGCCAGAGGCCTGCGGGGAACACGGGGGGCTCCTGCTTTAGTGCCGCTAGGAGAGAGGTTGCGTCCGGGTGGTCCCCAGGTTGTCCCTGATGTAGACACTGGGGCGTGCTAATGGTGGGCCTTTCTTCTGCATTCCTCCTCCACGTTGTCCTGCTCTCTCCTGCTCTCATAGATGCCTCCACTGCTCCAGCTCCATGGATGGCATCCACTGTTTCACCTCAGGTTGCTGGCTTCGTCCCCAGACACATCCTGGGTGTGACGCCCACCACCTGATTCCTCAAAATTCCTCCCACCCTCGTCTCTTGGTTTTGCGTCCCCCACCCATGTAGGCTGCTGCCTGGATGTGCTGGCACTCAGAGCTGTTGGTCACTCCCAGAATCACCAACTCAGAAATGCCTGTCACCATGGCTCATTCATTCATCTGCATGTACATACCCTTGAGCAACACTCTGGGAGCACCCTCTTTGTGGCAGGCACTGGGACACATCTCTGGGGTCAACAGTCCATCTCTGCCCCCAGCCCCCGCTCACCCTGCCCCCTCACTGGACTCTAGCCCACAGCCCTAGGGCAGCAGCCTGCCCTGCTCTGCCTCCCCCTCACCGTCTTTGCCCACAGGTTCTTCTGGCCTCCAGCCCACCACGCTGGGTGCCTTTGCGGATGCCACTCACCCCTCCCATAACATCCTGCTCTCCGTGTGGACATGGCCAAGTCACAGCTGCCCTTCCATCTTGTGGGGTCACCTTCTTCTGCAGCTGAATTATGTTATGAGCTGAATTATGTCCCTCTAAAATCCATATGCTGAAGTTCCAATCCCCAGTACCTCAAAATGTGGCTATTTTTGGTGATAACATCTTTAAAGAGGTAGTTAAAGTGAAATGAGGTCATAGGGAGGACCCTAACCCAATATGACTGGTGTCCTTACAAGAAGAGGAAATTTGGACACAGATACACACAGACAAAAGAGTGTGAGGCCACCGGGGCAGATGGCTGAATACAAGCTGAGGAAGGAGGCCTCAGAAGAAACCAGCCCTGCTGACACCATGATCTCAGACTTCCAGCCTCCAGAGCTGTTACAGCCCCCGCTCTTGTGGTCCTTTGTCCTGGGAGCCTGGGCAGACTCCTTCAGCCAGAATGTCACCTATGCCTTCCCTAGGGCATGAGATGTCTCTCTTTTTAGCCTTTTTACCACAAGTCACGTTTGTTGACACAGACATCTTAGCCCCCAGACTCCAGCAATAAGTCCTTGCCCTGTCTCCCTTTCCCCCATGAATGGGGAATCAAGGTTTCTGGAAACTCTCATTGAAAGAATGTTGTAAGACAGCCTCTGGTTGGCAGGCCTTTCAGCCCCTGGTAGGTGTTGGGATGGTGTTTTGAAACATGACAGCAGGCTCAGCCTTAATATTCATGATCCTGTTTCTTGGCCTTCCTGGGGAGTGGTGCCCTCTGCTCTTCAATTTATGGTCCTTCAGTGCAGCCCAGACTGGCTAGGGGATTGCAAATGGGCTGTCTGCTAATAGCACATGCAGACAGTATGGGAGATGGCTGATTCCTGGCCCTGGGGTCAGATACATGCTCCTCTCACCCAGGGAGGGGTGCTCTGGACCTGAGAAGCATCTCCACCTCCATCTTCCCTTTGCAAAGACCTTGAAGTTTATAGATAGAACACTATTTCCTAACCAACCCTCACTTGCTATTTTTGACATAGCTGCATACCACCTCTATGGTCTTAAGATTTATCTTTAAACTGACCCACCACCCCTGGAATCCAGATCACCCAGGCCACAAGTCCATTTTCTTTTGATCACCAGGCCTGAGCTTCATCAGTTGGGGACACCCACCAGGGGCTCTGCAGGGCTTGGAGAAGTATGAGAAGGACTGGTACTCTCTGGAGAGGAACCCTCAGGGAGGAGAGCTGATGCTGAGGGGCTGAGCTACCCTAAATCCCTGTGTACCCAGCTGAGCTTGATTTCATTGAAGAGGTAAGTGAATTTCCTTTCAAAGAGAGCTGGGGGTGGGGAGAAGCCATGAGGGTGAGGACCTTCAGTGTCCAACAACTGGTCACTCAGAGTGACCGGGCACTAGAAGGTACTGGAATTCCTCAGAGGGATCAACTAGCTACCCTACCTGCCAAGTATTTTCAGATGGAGAACAAATGTCACACAGCAGTCCAGACTTTTCCAGGATGAACTCCAGCTCAAAATTAGTATGTGTAGGAACCTTGACCTTCAGGTAAGGATGGGTCCTAGGAAGAGCCTACCAAGTCTGAGCCTGCCGTGGAGAGCAGAGCCAGGCCAGGCACGTCCAGGCAGGGTGAGTTCCCTGAGGCTGACTTCCCTATGCCTGCAATGGGCAGCCCTCACGTCCGTGTCCTGTGGCTCTGCCATGGGAGCTGAGCCTCCTGACTGTGGCCCCTCACTCTCCATGAGCTCCTGTATGGCAGGCAAGCCGACAGGAGGAGACCAGTTCCACACAGGGAGGCAGGAGGTGCTGAGGAACCCTCTGAAGGTGGCCTGTGCTTCCTGCCTTTCTAAGTACGGAGATGCGAACTGCTGAGTGGAAAAGGGTGGTGATTGAACTCAAGAGCCCTCTTGCATTTGGAAAATAGTTGTTTTAATAAAATAAAGACAATACAATATGTCCCTTTAGTCACTAGTATGTGACGCATTTTTTTTTCCGTGTAATAAGCCCTTGGAAAAGGTGAGTCATTGTGATTTCACATGCAGCTTATCAGTGAGTTGTGCCTCCCAGCACACTGCTGGCAGGACCCCTATGTGTGCTCTCATCCTTTTTATAAAGCACATCCTTGTGCGATCCAAGGCCCCAGTCCCAGCAGCCCCATCCTCAGGGCCTGTGTGGAGGGAGCCCGGGGAGGTTCCTCTACACTCCAAACACTGAGTCAGTCCACATTTCAACTGGTGCTGTTGCCCCTCGGGTGCTGCTAAGCCAGGGTCTCCACCGTCTCTTTCTTCCTACCCTTCTGCAGACCAGCAGAATATTCTCCCCTTCTCATCACCAACCAGGAGTTTGGTCTGGTTTCTTGGGAAGAGAAAGAACAGACAGGAATGTTAGAGGCAAGCCTGGGAGTCCCACTACCCCAGCTAGCACTCAGGAACTTGTGACACAGGGTGGGAGCTCGGCCCAGAACCTCATGGATCTGTACCTGGCCTCCACCTGAGGCAGGGGCAGGAAGGGAGAACTGGAGGAAGTTCTGACCCCAAGGGGAACTTCTGAACCATGAGGGTGTGGTTCCCACTGAAGCTACATTCTAAGATGCCTGGGCCCCAGGGCACAGGGTGAGACCCTGACTTCTCTCCAGCACCTCCTGCTGCCTCCTGTCCTATGAGAGATGCCACCCGTCTCCCAGCCAGACCAATGGCAAGTTTTCCAGCACAGATTTAGGGCTCTGGACTTTCTGGCTCTATCCCCATGCCCCACCCTAACCCACCCCACTTCAACCCAGCATCTAGAACACCGTATAGTTCCCACCTCCACGGACCCTAAGTAACTCACTCCAGGGCAGTGAGAGAGAAGGGAAAGCACCTCTCAGAGGACCACAGAGCTCCTGAGACCACACTTCCTAGTGTGTGAATCAGGTTAACAACAGTGAGTGCCACCAGTGGGTAATTTTGAAGAATAAAATAATGTCTATCAAGTGTAGTATCTGACACTTGACCATGCTAGCTTCACTTACAGCTCTTAAAAGGCATTTCTATAATGCAGGATAATCATCACACCAAATGTTAAAATCTGTGGACCTCAGGAAAAAAGTCCCGCTAAGAAAAAATTACAAAGCAGTTTTTTTCCCCCCCCAACAAAACAATTTTGAGCAATGTTAGGAGAACAACAAGACCTCCAGTGGCTTAGGTTTGTGAATTTGCACATGGACTTGCTAACTCTAAACCATGGCACAACCTGTATTTTGTGAATATGTCTGTGCCCTGTGTCATTCATCCTAATCCTCCCTTGAACTGTAACCACAACCCCAGCAGTTAATTCTATTTGGTGGTGGTGACCTTTGGATTTATGAATTCATGGATATGCAAGAAAATGTGTGTATTATAAAACATTTCCTGTGGTGCACTACATGGCCACCTGGCCTGCATCCTGTACTTGAGTGGGTCCTTACCGTAGTGAGCCACCTTCTAGGGCGGGGGGCGAGGGCTCTCCTAAGGGTGGTCACAGCGCCCTCTGCTGGATGCCTGGAGAAACCAGGTCATGATTACCTGGACACAGCCAGAGCTGTCACCGCAGGGCTGGTCTTGCTGGGCTTCCCTGTCAAAGAGGCACTGACATCCAGCTCTCGACATAGGGCAAGATTCTTCCCCCACCTGTGGCCTGTGGAGAGTGTGCGAGAGGATAGTTAGAGAATCCAAGCAGCCTAACGCATATGCATATGTTCGTCAGCACACAGGGCTACAAACATATACACACATATTTGTATTTGTGGTCAGCAACTTGTTAAATTGAGGGGGAAAACATATTTAATCTTGGCTTGTGCTGTTGCAAAAAGGGCTGTCCCAATTTAATTTGCAGGCTTCGATAGTTGCATGTGCTGACGTGCTGCGGTATCCATTGTGTACCAAATTGGATTTGTGTATTATTGCTTTCTAAATTGCATGCCTAGTTCAGCAAAATTGTTCATCAGTGTTTACTGGCTTTATGCTTAATAAGATGCCCCACAATACCTGCTGCCAGGATGTAATGCAGCCTGTAATTGCCCAGTAAAAATGAATTACATAAAGTTGGCATTTTCAACTTATCTAAATCCTCTCACGCCACAACCAAAAATTAAATGCTGAGAATGTTTTATTCAAAAACTGTAACTCAATGATTGTTACTTCACTCATTTTAATGCCTGCATTTGGGGACAGACAATAATTCCTTCAACATGGAGGGTGAGATGGAGAGGCATCAGTGGGCTGTGTCCCTATGAAGTACCTTGGTTTAAGTCAGGCCAGGAGTGATACAGCTGTCCCAACAGTCCCAGGGTAGTTCTTTATGTGCACAGACAGGCTTATGCACCAGGAAATGCATGCACATTTTGTGTTTGTGTAGAAGTCCAAACAACAAGGTTTTCCAGAGCACTTAAAAATTGTACCAGGTTGAGTCCAAATCTATGGAATGATTCCTAAAATAAATTGTCCTAAACTGAGTTGGTCCTTGCTGAAAATGACAAATAAATGAATTCCAGGCAGAAATTAGATTGCATCTGCACACAAATGGAGTATTCTTAATATCTTCAAAGATCTCCTTTCTGCCCCGTAAGACATTTGAGGGATTCAGCGATATATACACCAATAGAATGTGCAAATATCCATGTGTCATGCCCAGTACTGTTCCCTGTCCAATAAAACAATTTTGAGCAATATTATGAGAACAACAAGACCTCCAGTGGCTTAGGTTTGTGAATCTGCACATGGACTTATTAACTCTAAACCATGGCCCAGCCTGTTTATTATGAATATGTCTGTGCCCTTGTGTCATTCATCCGAATTCTCCCTTGAACCGTAACCACAATGCTGGCAGTTAATTCTATTTGATGGTGGTGATCTCATGCAGGTCAGGACAAATAGCAGGGGAAGGATGTGCATCTGGGGTTCCTGTTGGCCTGAAAACATCTGGTAAGTTCTCTAGTCACCAGAGTGGTGTACTAGGGGAGAAGTCTCTCATAAGTCTGAGAAAATTATAATGATGACCTGAATTTTGTTGAACAGATTCTTGTCTGTGTCCATGATTTTTCTGTTATCAAGTTAGGAAGTACCTCCATTTGACATAGGGGCAAGCTGAGGGAGGGGCAGAGAAATGGCTGGGGACAGAACTGGGTCTAGAGCTTTTTTCTGCTTTTCATCTCACTTCTCTAGACCCCATTATCAATGAATACAACCTCACCACAGCTGTTGGCCCTGAGAAAGAACCGGTATATCCCCTGGGACTTCTAGAACCAACAGAATGTCTCTGAGGTGCCCTTTGTTCATCTGTCCTTCCGTCTCCCTACCCACCCATCCCGTCAGCATTCTTGCTCAGACATCTATCATCAACAACCAGTCTGAGCCAATGCCTTTGCCTGCTAGACCTCGACAACTTCAGAAATTGAGCCAAAGACTGAAATGGTGAGTGCTCGTGCATTTGTACCATAGTGTTGCTCAGAGGCAGGCTAGGAATAAGAAACCTGTGTTAGTTTTCTTTTAAGTGGGTGGAAGTAAGGGAGAGAATTTGGCCTGTGCTTGCCAAGGAAGTGCTGTGAGTTCCCTGGGATGCACAAGCCCCACACATCTTCCTTTTTATGCTGAAATGGGCTGATTCCTTGTGGTCCCAAAGGACTCTGGAGATAGCAGGACAAGTGAACTGAATGGGGTTGTAGACCGTTGTGGGTCACTGCTCTGAGTCAGCCCAGTTGTGGATGAGGGCTGTCAGACGGTGTTACCTTGAAGGAAGGGATTCCCACTGTAGAGCCCCTAGCAGAGGGAAAGCAGATGTTTGTGCATGCTTGGTGGGAGGGAAGACTTCATGGAAGGATGACTAAATGAATCACTGAGGTGTGTAGTACATTCTAGAAAGGAAACTAACTGAAAATGGCTACTCTTCATAAGGCAACCCTCAGCAATCTGGAAAATTCTCCCCTGTGAATGAAAATGGGTCCTGGGATGCAGAGCAAACCCAAGGGCTCATGAGGACAGAATTCTCCCTCCACGGCGACAAGTTTGCCTTCATCATGGGTGCTAAAAAAGATTCTGAGTTCTGAACCGGAGTCTTTGATGAAGACAGAGCTGAGAAAGAAGATTGGCTGCGCTGGGGGAGGTGGATGGCAGAGGCCACTGGGAGAGCCGTGCTGGAAGAGGAGGTGATAGCTCTGATGGTGAGGTTCGTGCTTGTGCTCACTGTGAGGGGGGTGGTCTGGTGGGTTACATGGCAGTACCTGCAGTTGAGGCTATCCTGGCAGTGGTTGGATCTGGCTGCAGAAGCGAGAACGACAGTAGCAATGTGCTCCTGGGTAACTGTGGGCAAGTTATGGGACCTCTCGGTGCCTCAGTTTCTTTCCATCTCAGATGGAAGCCATAGTAGTATGTACCTCATTGGGTTCCCGTGAGAAGTAAGAGGATACACAGGACGTGTGCACGGTGGAAACTGCTCCTGGTCAGCTCTCTCCCTCAAAGCTCCAGAATAGTGGCCATGATGGTGGTGGCCAGTGGCCATGATGGCAGAAGGTAGAGCAAATTTTCTTACCTCAGTCCCATCCACCGCCACCCAGAGGGCTTTGAGCCAGAAGAGTGGTTCATTTAATTTGGTACACACCAAGACTCACCTGGGAACTTCTTAGACTTGGAAAGTCTAACAACCCCTAATCTCTTCCTGGGGTTTAGGGTAAGAACAGGACCCAGAGCTACATTTTTAATAAGGCTCCTGGGCGATGCTAACAGGTGACCAGCAGACCCATTCTGAGGAACTTGCCATGAGAAGAGCCACAGTCAACAGTGCAGACCAGGGTACTTTGCAACCACTTCCTCTCCCCAGGGAAAGGGCACTGACCCTCCATGCCCCCTCCTCACTCCTGTCCTGCAGCCCAGTTAATCAGGCAAGTAGCCAGCTGGACCCCCACTTTGGACTGGGGAATTTAGCATTCAATAGTCATCCAGGCAGATGAAGAGCATCAAACCAAGCTGTGTGATGTGGGTCCCCCTTCCTGAAGCTCAGGAGTCCCTGATGACGACTGCCACCACTGTTCACACATCTGAGGAGCATCCCAGAGCTCACTGGTCCCTGCATGATGGGCCCAGGACTCAACATGGCTTCTGCACCCTGCTTCACATTCCACCAGCAGCTGCAGTAAACTGTGTTTTTGTTCCCTCAAACTTGGCACCATCTCGGGACACTCTATGGCCTCCCAGGGTTCTGCAGGCCTGGATGGAGCTGCAGGAGAGGAAAGGGGAGGGATGGCTGAGCAACACAAGGATGCCCTGCATCCCCAGTCGGGCAGGTACCTCTTGGGCTTGGAGGCTGAGCCGAGGGCTCTTCTGGTGCTGCCTGTCTGGGAACAGACATCTTCATGTCCTCAGTCTTCCATATCTGTCCAGAGAAGAGAACAAGCCATAGGCTGGGGAAATGATCCTGTCTGCAGGCTTGGCCCATCCCAGCCCCTCACACCTGGGGGACCCTGAGAGAAGCTGTAAGGGCATGGTCCCCTTTCACTTTGGATGTTAAAGTATTCTCTGGGAAAGGGTTGCTTAGGCTTCAGCTGAGCAGTTACAGCTTGGATGAGTTCACTCTGCTCCCCTGTGTCCGTGTGCACCTGTCCACAACCCCTTACCTGTGGGGACCAGACTCAGCAGCCAGTGTATTACCATTTTGCTTGGCAAATGTCCTCTTGTCCCTCTACCACCATCCCTGGAGGTCTCCCTCACCACTCAGCAGTGGGGCCTCTCTGTCCCTTGTGTCTGGCCTTTGGTCCCAATCCCTGCTGTGAGTGTTCTCAGGCTGACTGCATATGGCTCCTCACTTGCTGAGTCTGGATATTCTGTTGCCAAAGGACAAGGACCAGCCTCCACTTAATGCTCCTGTGACCTTTACCCTGGGCCATCCCAGGAGCTCAGTTACCACACTGAGTGAGGGAGAGCTGAGTGCATGAAAGACTGCCAGTCCACTGTGGGCAGGCCCACCGAGGAAAGGCACTTGCTGCTCGGGCTGCTCCGACCGACCCACAGTGGACACCATGCTCCATCAAGCCCAGACCTTCGTGACCTCCTCACATTCTGGCCAGCCCTCTGCAGAGACCCTGTGCCCCTCACGGTCACAGATGGGGCTCTGTAAGGGGGCTCTTCAGGGAGTCCTCCTCTGCCTTGTCTCTCCAGTCCCTGCACCCTGGCTCCTCAGCCTGCATAGCCTTCCCCATGTGCTCTGACTTTCCTCATCCTCAGGACTCAGATGAAATGACACCTCCCTGATGTTTCTCTGTTGGAAATAAATCCATCCTCCCCTTGGAATACTACCACATATTCATTCTGCTTCCTGAAGCATCCTCTCCATGGATAACGTGAGACTTGGAGCGTTGACACCCCTGAGGGCAAGGCTAAGTTTAGTCATGTTGGCACCCAGAAAGCTTTCATAAATGTTTGTAAAATTCAGTGGGCATCTTCACAAATACCTTGTGGCATTCAATTGACATTCCCTCCCATAAACTGTCCATCTCAGTTTTTTTAGTAAGCCTCTTAAGTGTTCTCAATTTTACTCATTCCTTCATCTTTCCTGTTAGTCTCAGAAAAATCTCCTGTACTTTGTTCTTCCCATGATCTTCCTCCCATCTCAACATTTCTGTTTCCTTCTCTTCTTGGTTCCTTGATGCTGTCCTTCTCCATGGCCCTCCTCAGAAGACCCACGACACTCTGATTATTATCCTAACTATAACATGGACCTCATAAATGTATTTTCTGTTCTCTCTTCTCTTCTAGGATATGAACATCTTGAGGACACTACGTATAAACAGCATATACTATATATATCCTATAGGATAAAGAGCCTATTTATCATTAATCTCTGTGTCTCCTGTGGCATATATGAAGTGCTTGTCATAGTGCCAGAGTTCAGTGAATGTTGGGATGATGGATAGACAGATAGTTGGATGGACAAGTAGTTGGGTGGATGGATGATTCATGGGTGTATGGATAATAGGTAGCTGTTTCTCTGTTGGAGATGTATGTAGGTATGGAAAGAAAGAAGGAAGGAAGGAAGGAAGGAAGGAAGGAAGGAAGGAAGGAAGGAAGGAAGGAGGGAAGGAGGGAAAGGTAAAGAGATAAATACTTGGGTAGGTGATTAGATGTATTAATGTGTGGATGGGTGAATGGATGAATGGAAGAGTAGACAGAAGGATAAATGGACACAGATGGAAGGATGAATGGCTGGATGGATGGGTAGATATAGAGATAAATACTTGAATGAGTGGATGGATGGAAGGTGGATGGATGGGCAAGCATGTGAATGGATGAGTGGGTGACCCAAATATCTCTTTTAAGCACTGGGCTATGTTATTATGCATTTGGCCATTCAGCTTTCATACCTTGTGACAATAAATTTTTATTCCATTATATAAGTCTATGTGTATATAAAATTAGACCTATAACTTTATTTATTGATTTTCTTTTTGGTGGAAAGAGCCTTGTCCTTGCCATCACTTGTTGTAGGGACCTCATCTGAAGTGCAGCCTGCAGATGTGGAGCCTTGGAGGAAGTGAGCAGAATGGAGATAAATGCATTTCATGTGCCGTGCCCTCCTTCTGCCCGAGACACACCTACCCGGACCATGCCATCTTGGCTCCCAGTGATGATGACATGGCTTGTGTCCCACGCTGGTCCCTCCATCACACAGCAACAGGTTATGGCTCCTTCAGGGCCCCAGGCCGTGGTGATGCTAGCCAGGGGCCGACCATTGACATTCCATAGAGACAGGTGGGCTCCCGCGCAGGAGACGATAGTGCCCTGCAGCCGTGAGAGATCACTTAACTCCAGGCTGGCCTCACTGCCTGCCCATCTGCCACTTGCTTAGCCACTGAATTTGTAAAGCCAAGCACCCCCAACCTGCTGTCTTCTGAACACTAAGCAAGGCACTCCAGGACTTCCCAGGACACCATTTCTTTGCCACTGACTCACAGGCCCGCTGTAACTTTAAGTCCCCGGTCCTCTGCACACTGTAATCACATGTTTGGATACTGCTTTTCCCAACACAGGCTGACTGGCTCACCCTCTGGACTCCTCCCACAGCCTTCTCCCTGGCACAGAGAGACCCAGTCTGGAGGCTTCCCTGGCTCTGGACGTGGGGCCTACACCTGGCTGGCCAAGCCCATCTCCATTAGGAAGCTTTTGACATCACCTGACAGAGGATAGCCATTCCAATGATTACATGTGGTTTGTAAAATTGGACAATTTCCCTCTGGAGGGAATTCTGAGGAGAAATTTCCCCACTGCTCCTCTTGAAATGTTTGTCCAGAGTGTTTGTGCCTCAATTTTGTCTCTTTTGCAGCCAATGGTGTGGCAGCCTCTGTCACCAAGGACTCACAGAGCCAGCAGGGGCCATGCCTTTGAGCTTTGTCCTAACCACAGGGGTATAGGGAGCTCAGTGCCCTTCCACACGCCCCTGGCCGGGCTCCATCATGTCCTGTGCTGACTTTTTCAGTAGAACCTGCCTGAGCTCAGGGACCATGTCTGATACATTTCTGCTCAGTACCCAGTGTGGGCCCACCAGACACTCAGTGAACTCAGTGGCTCCAGGCAAAGTTGAGTTCAACAAATTGTTGTCTTGATATCAGTCTCTTGAGGTCTGGGGACATCATTTTTGATGGGTTTTATATCCTCCCATATCAGGGGCTTAGTGCGTTCCTCAGTACATCTACCATTCATACCTTCACCCTCATCCACCCACCTATATGCTGTGTATCCACCCATCACCCCTCAATGTGCCCATGCACCCATCCATCCATCATCCTCCATCTGCCCATGTAACATTCATCCTGGATTCAAGCCCACCTGGAGCACTATTTTTGGCCAAATTTGGCACCATGAGGCTTTCCCCTTTCCCCCTCCTTCTGTGATGCCCCTGACCACCCCATCTATACCCTGGGTCCCTGGGCTTTCTGTGAGCAGATGTGGAGCCTTTGATCCTCAGGGAGCCACATGCTCCATGATGGGGGTTCCAGCCTGAGAGAAACTCCACACTGAGATTTAGATACACATTTCTCCAACTCCCTCCCTCTCTCTCTCACACACACACATGCATATGCACCAGTCCCTGGCAGGCTCATGTTTGGAGGCCAGCACGGAGGAACTAGCAGAAGCACTTCCTGCTGTGGGGATCAGAGGTACCTGCTGAGTCAACACTGGTCTTCAGTTAGCAGCCTGAATTAATCAGTTAAGCCCAGCACATCCCTCACCTAAGCCAACTTCCTGCCCTAGCTCCCTGGTGCCCATGCCAGGACAGACACTTCCCACTGCCCCCAGAACCCTGAGGGAGAAAAATAAAAATGACACCTAGACCCAGATGCCACACGTGTTGATGGCTCCACACTGTGCTCCACACATTTGGGGCTTTGACATTCTTGGGCGGCCAACATGGCTCTGCCCCTGGGTTTTCTCCCAGGGCACTGTCTCCCATGTTGCCATGCAGGCTTGTGGTCATGTCAAGGACTCAGACACTGAGAGAGGGGCCTCACCGAGATGTCACTGATGGCGATTGCAGAGACACCCTCATGGTGGGCGGGCAGGCGGGCCACATGGGTGAGGTGGTCAAGGTCCCACAGGATGCAGGTGCAGTCTTGGGAGCCACTCACCAGGAGGTTGAAGGTGACGGATGCTGCCAGGCATGTGACAGCTTGTGTGTGTCCATACAAAGCCTGGGGACAGGGGACAAACCACAGGTTGTGTGAAGGAGCCTTAATTCAACTACTCAGGGATGCCCCACACCCCTTTTAACTGCTGGGCCTCAGATAAGGAAGCAGAGATTCAGTATGGGTCAGTAATTCCGAAGTGTGTGGTGTATATGCATGTGTGTGTGTGCATGTGTTTATGCATGTGCATGTGTGTGTGTACCTGTGCAGGTGTGTGTGTGCATGTGTGCACACATGTCCATGGCTGGCCTCTCAGTCCATCCATTTTCAGGGGTTGAGTTCCAGCTGAGGAGAATCAGCAGTCCTTTCATCATAACCCAAGCTGGGACCAGAAGCTCCCTAGGCACTGTCCTCCCCTACATTTGTCTTGCACCCCAAAGCAGCACATGCCACTATTAATGTGCAAGGGCACTGATTGGCAAAGTGTGGTGTCCCAGCCAGTAGGATAAACATCATCTGGGAACTTGTTAGAAATTCAAATTCTTGGGCCCTATCCCAGACCTACTAAATCAGAAACTGGGGTGGGGCCCCACAACTAAGGTTTTCACAGTCCGGCCAGGAATTCTGCTGAACAGTCACATTTGAGAATCACACTAAGGGAACCTCAGAAACACACTGGGTTCATATCCAGTCTGGCCACATGGCAGCGGGTGACTCAGGGCCTCTGTCCTGGCCCTGGGGCGGCTTGTGCAGGGCCTGGCCTGTCTTGTGGGTGGCTATGTGTCCAGATCTGGCCAAGGGTGTTGCTCCCTTGGGACATGTTCCTGGGGCGCTGGGGTGACCTGCGGGCACCCTGGTACCCCCAGGCCCACAACTGCTGGTAACAGCATGGTTTCTGCCACAGCTGTACCAAGGCTGCCAGGTGAGCCTGATATGAGAGCTGCTGTGCACACACATGCCTGGGTCTCTGGAATTGCCAGACAAGCATGGAAGTGGTGTTCTGAAGTGTGATTACCTGGGCCTAACTAGTGGTGAACCTCCACCCTCAGGATAGATGAATGCTCACTCATTTGGGTTAGTGAAGCTGGGTGTCATTTTTCAAAGCTGTCTCTTTGCCTGGTCACAGTAATTACAAATTTGCCATGAATTCCCATTTGTCTTCAATGGATCCTAACATGGTACCAACAAGACAGTGCTGGCAAAGTTCTGTATCTGACCCATGGAAGAAGATTTAGGCCATCTTAGGAAAATGGAAACTATCTGAACGAATAGAGGAAAGCAGAGAATTTGACAGGAACTTTCTGATTGTCTTCCCAGAATGAACTGATTCTGATGACTAAGTTCTTACAGCAGGAGACACGGTGACTCCAAAGAGTACAGGCCCCATGAGTAAGTCCTGAGGATTCAGAGAGAGAAGCTCTGAGCCCTTGAACCTTTGCATCTGTCCGTTAATGGAGCCAAGCCTGCCACTTTCTGAGGGGAGGTACTGGAGAGTGAGGTACCAGCCCATACTTGGGCACTGCCCACCCCCCGAAGGCCTGTTGCCTCCTGCCTGCCAGGAAACTGAAGCACCACGAGGCATCCAGCCACCCCTTATCTGGGAAGGCTGAGGAAATCAGTGAAGAAGGCCAGCAGTTTTGAGTGTGTTCTTGACCAGCTCTTTGTTTTCTCAGAATATAGTAGTCCCCTTTATACATGGAGGGATACATTCCAAGACCCACAGTGGGTGCCTGAAACTAAGGGTAGTACCAGACCCTATATATCTGTTTTTTCTATATATACATACTTATGATAATAATTTATAAACTAGGCACAGTAAGAATTAACAACAATACCTAATAATTAAACAGAACAATTAAAACAACATATTGTAACAAAAGTTATGAGAATGTGGTCTTTTTCTCTCTCAACTCATCTTAGTGACTTTCCTCACCTTTCTTGTGATAATGTAAAATGATATAATACCTTTGTGATGAGATGAAGTGGGGTGAATGATGAAGGCATTGTGATGGAGCATTAGCTACTATTGACCCTCTATCAATACACCAGGAGGATCATCTGCTTCCAGAGCACGGTTGACCACTGGTAACCAAAACCTTGGGAAGTGAAGCCATGGATAAGAGGGGACCACTGCAATATCTCTCCATATGGCCAATGAAAATAACTTCACTGTATCAACTTATACTTAACTAAGGCAGAAAAAGAATAAAATAAAAACCTCTGAAAATAATTCCTCATGCTGGATACATCATAAGATGGGTAATCTTAACTAATTGTCGGTGGCACTGTAAAGCTATCGAACCATTTAGAAAGCATATGTGACTGCTAGGAAATTCTACTTCCTGCAATTTATTTTAAGGAAGCAATTAATCAGAAGCAAACGGCAATCTATGCAAGTTGTTTTCTGCAGCACTACTTAAAGTTAAAACTTGGAAGTAATGTAATTGCCTAATTTTATAAGAAATGGTTTATTAAACTGTGGTACATTGACATAACAAAACAATTGAAATGTAATTTTATGGAAATGGAATGATTTGGGACAATTGAAATGTAAATGATATAGATAGCAGAAAAGCTGAAACAATTTGATAGGCTGGATGAAAACAGAATAAACATACCTACACAGTGATCAGAATGGTATCAATATGATATCTGGGGGTGGCAGTCTGCAACAATGAAAATTTATAGGGATTATAGAGAATTGTTCAACTTCTAAGTGAATTCGAAATTTGTCTTTAATGTTGTAATATCTTTAAAAATAAAACACTTCAAAATTGTTTCTGAAGCTATTTAATGATGATTTCTCTGTCTACAAGTCAGGGATGGATGCCTCCTCCCAGAGCAGCTGGTGGTCTGGGGGATCCCCAAGGCCATGTCAGAGTCTGTAGGTAAATGATAAAGTGTGTTATTTGATCTAGGAAATAAGAGCGTGTGGGATTCCCAATGCCTTTTTCTCTTGATTTAGAACTAGAGAGGATGATAAATTACATTTCTATGTTGTCAATACCAGGCTTTTACAGTGCATCTTCACTTCTAAAAGGGACCTTGGAGCAGTGGTGGGGGTTGTCTTCCTGGCTCCCCAGGACCCACTCTGGGATCAGCTGAATCTGCTGCCATCCCAAGTGATGCCTGGGAGACAGGAACCCTCCGCAGAGTAATGCACAGTCTCTTCACTCAGGTCCTGAATTAAAAACCCAGCCCCCCTACCCCCCGACACAGTAGTCAATGAAAAGGAACATGGAAACCTCCAGAGCAACCTGAAAACACAGAAAGGCAGGAGTTCGAGGGCTGGCTTTGGTCTGAGAGGCTGGCTGAGGGCAGCAGGCCCTAGGCCTGCAGAGCTGCCTCCCAGCAGATGCCACAGTCCCGGCTCTGCAGGAGTAATCAGCTCCCTCAGCCCTGACCCATGATGCCTTCAGCTTCTGCTGCTGAGGATCCACCATGTACCACGTGGGTACTGGGGGTGGCTTGAAAAGCATCCAGAGAAACCCACTATCAGTTCCAGTGAAATATGCTCAGGTTAGGAAATCTGGTCAGTGCTGAGTTTTGTATGATTAATCTTGTTTTTTGTTATCTTGAGGCTACATGGCTAAGAAGCAGATGAAAGGATGAGTTGCATTTTAGAGTCGAAGTGTACCCTAGTAATATTTCCAGGCAAGTTCAAAAGCACACAGGCAGAGAACATGCATGGTTTAGAGATAGACAAATCTAGATTAAAATGCAAACTCAATGTTTCTGAGCCTCAATTTCCTCACCTGAAAGGGGGAATAATAGTCCTTGCTTGAGAAGATTAAAAGTAATGTAGAGTCTTAAGTAAACAGTAAGTTTTCTTAAGTGGTAACTCTGCTTACTATTATGAGTAATGGTGGCTCATGAGGTAGGACAAGTACAAGTCCTCTGTCCGCTGGTTGGTTTATGTTCTCCTCCTGCCACAGCCACTGCTGGAAAACAGGCATGCCTTGTTTGACTGTGTTTCACTTCATTGCATGAAGGTCTGTGGTAGCCCTGCACTAAGCAAGTCTATTGGTTTTCCAACAGCATCTACTCACTTCACACTAGTGTCACACTTTGGTCATTGTCACAATGTTAAACATTTTTCATTATTATTAGTTAGGGTGATTTGTGGCCAGTGCTCTATGAAGCTACTATTGTAATTGCTTTGGTGTACCACAAACTGTCCAATATAAGACCAAAAACCTAGTCAGTAAATGTTGGGTGTTCTGGCTGCTCCACCATTCCCCATCTCTCTTCCTCTCCTTGGGCTTTCCTAATCCCTGAGGCACAAAAGAATTGAAATTAGGCCTCTTAATAACCCTACAGAAGATTATTGAACATTACATGTGTTCAAGTGGAAGGAAGAGTCTCACATCTCTCACTTTAAATCAAAAGCTCAAACTGATTAAGCTTAGTGAGGAAGGTGTGTCAAAAGCTGAGACAGGCCAAGAGCTAGGTCTCTTGCACCAAACCGTTAGCAAGTTGTGCATGCAAAGGAAAAGTACTTTAAGGAAACTAAAAGTGCTATTCCAGTGAACACACAAATGATAAGGAACTGAAACAGGCTTATTGCTGATATGGAAGAAGTGTTTTGAAGGGAAGATTAAACCACCCACAACATTCCCTTAAGCCAAAGCCTAATCCAGAGCAAGGCCCTAACTCTTCTCAATTCTGTGAATGCTGAGAGAGGTGAGGAAGCTGCAGAAGAAAGGTCTGAAGCCAGCGGAGTTGGTTTATGAGGTCTAATGAAAGAAGCTGTCTCTGTAACAGAAAAGTACAAGATGAAGCAAGAAGTGCTGATGTAGAAGTACAGCAAGTTATTCAGAAGATGTAGCTAACATCATTAGCATAGTTGGCTACACTAAACAACAGACTTTCAGTGCAGATAAAACAGCCTTCTATTGGAAGAACATGCCATCTAGGCCTTTCAAAGCTAGAAAGGAAAAGTCAAAGCCTGGCTTCAAAGTTCCAAAGGACAGGCTGACACTCTTGTTAGGGGCTAATGCAGCTGGTGACTTGAAACTGAAGCCAAAGCTCACAGACCATTCTGAAAATTCTAGGGCCATTCAGAATTATGCTAAATCTACTCTGTCTGTGCTCTATAAATGGAACAACAAAGCCTGGATGACAGCACATCTCTTTACAACATGATTTACTGAATATTTTAAGCCCACTCTTGAGACCTTATGCTTAGAACAAAGATTCCTTTCAAAACATTACTGCTCAGTGGCAATGCACCTGGTTATCCAAGAGCTCTGATGGAACTTCACAACAAAATTAATGTTGTTTTTATGCTTGTTCATACAACATCCATTCTGAAGCCCATGGATCAAGGGGTCATTTTGACTTTCAAGTCATATTGTTTAAGGAATACATTTGTAAGGTTATAGCTGTCATAGTCAGTGGTTCCCTCAATGGATCTGGGCAAAATAAATGGAAAACCTGGAAAGAATTCACCATGGGAAGATGTCAAAATGCCAACATTAACAAAAATTTGGAAGAATTTGATTCAACCTTCATGGATGACTTTGAGGGATTCAAGACTTCAGTGGAGGAAGTCACTGCAGATGTGGTGGAAACAGCAAGAGAACTAGAATTAGAAGCAGAGCCTGAAGATGTGGCTGAATTGCCACAATCTCATGATAAAGTGGATAAGGAGTTGCTTGTTACTGATGAGCAAAAAAAATGGTTCCTTGAGATGGAATCTTGGTGACGATGCTGTGAAGACTGCTGAAATGACAATAAAGGATTTAGAATATTGCATGAACCTAGTTGATAAAGCAGTGGCAGGATTGAGTCCAATATCTTAAGAAGTTCTGCTGTGGGTAAACTGCTATCAAACAGCATCACACGCTACACAGAAATGGTTCATGAAAGGAAGAATCAGTCAATGCAACAAACTTCACTGTTGTCTTATTTGAACAGATTTCCACACATATTCCAACCTTCAGCTACCACCACCCGATTAGTCAGCAGCTATCAACATCGAGATAAGACCCTGTACCAGCTAAAAGATTATGTCTCACTGAAAGCTCAGATGATGGTTAGCATTTTTCAGCATCAGGTATTTAAATTAAGGTATATACATTTTTTTTAGACATACTGCTATTGCACTCTTAATAGACTATAGTATAGTGTAAATATAACTTTTATATGCACTGGGAAACCAAAAAATTCATTTGACTCTTTTTTCTTACAATATGTGCTATATTGCAGTTGTCTAGAACTGAACCTGAAATACCTCTGCTGTATACCCACAGTCTTTTATTTTCTGGATCTATGATTTTGGACAAGTTACTTAAATTCCTTGCACCTGTTTTTTTTACCAGTAAAGTAGGGATGATAGTGGTACCTATTTTACAGGGTTGTTGAGAAGGTAAAATGAGGCTATTCATATAAAAGTGCCTGTGGCAAATGCTCAAACATGTTCTCTAGTGCAAGGAAACCGATCCACTAGCCCTCCTTCCATCAATGATATCTCTCATTGAAGTGTGGGTCTCCATGGGGGCACCAGCTCTGTGTGCTTGTCTGTCAGATCCACCCATGAGCATGAAAACTGCCCTCATAGACACAAGGTAATGCATGACAGAGCCATGTGCTACCCTCGTCACCTCACTGAGGTCTCTGTTCCTGAGGGAGCTGGGATTTCAGCGCTTGGGGATTTGGAGCAGCAAGAGCACCACCTGTCCCAGGCACTGTTCTTGCCTGAGGCATCATACCTGCTTGAGGCGCAGGCCTCTTGGGCGGCCTTTGGTCATGCTGAGCTCCCACACACACACCACAGTGCTGGCCCCAGAGGTGATGATGATCTCGGGGGATGGGCACACAGCACACAGGCAGCGGCCCCAGGCGGCCAGATTCTCGAACATCATCAGGATCTGTGGGAGACACGTGGGATGCACACTGATGCTGATGCCACGGGGCCTGGGACAGAGTGACAGAGGAACGTGGGCAGGCCTGGATGCTGCTGGCCTGTCGGCGTGCCATGGGAACCAAGAGATGTGTCACTTGTTCAGGACCCCAGCCCTGGTGACAAAATTTAAGTTATCTGGGCCTTTCTCCAAAGAGTTTATACTCTAGTGGGTGGGGAGAGACAAGTGAGCAGGTGGTGAGGGGGACACCATGAAACCCCGTTAGCACAGTGAGCATCAGGGTCTCTGTCTGCCTGGGGAGGAGGTCAGAGACAGCTTTCAGGAGTGGGTGACATCTGGAAAAGGCTTCTGGCTGCCTAATGAAGGCAGTGGGGACAGGCTAGGGAGGGTGCAGGAGAGCTTGGTGGGCAGAGAATTCATGCAATGAGATAGGGTGGGAGGGAGGGAAGCCAGGGTAGGAAGGGGGACTGGGAGGTGCCTGAGGCCATATCAAGAAGACAAGATAATAGATGGCCTAAAAATGGGGTGGACAACCAGTAACCAGATGGCTTGCTTCTGGTGCAGGCTGAATGCTCAGTGTGCATCCTTTGGGTCTAGGCCATGATGGGCTGGAGAAGCCCCAGGAATGCTCACTCAGGCTGAGAGTCTGGGCAAGCTCACAGTGGCCAAGTGACTAGCCAGCGGGCCCTCAGCAGGTCACACAAGCCCCCTCACTCCCCAGCCACAGGCACAGCCACATGGAGGTGCAGGTGGCTGTGTCTGCTTCGGGCTCGCCCACTTCCTGACCCCCTCTGCCCCAGCCAGAGGGAGGCCCAGGCTCTGTGGCCACCCTGCTCCCACTCACCTTGTCAGAGCCATAGTTCCCTAGGCAGCAGCTGAGGTCATCGAAGCCCCAGCTGAAGGTCCTGTTCCAGAGAGGGGGCAGCAGCAACTTGTTCTTCTCCACAGCCAGGATGGTCTTCTCAGTGGGCATGATGTGGCCGATGGCACCTTTGGGGGATTCTGAGCCTAGAGAGAAAAGGTACATATCTACCCCCCAGTTAGTATGGTGGAGTGCACAGGTCAAAGGACAACAAATATATCTGTTAGTTGGGCCAGAGAGGAGCCCTGGGCAGGCAACGGACTTGGCAAAGCACAGGCCCAGCTGGAGCCATGCATCAAGGCATCCCACTCTCAGCCTCACTCCAGGGGTAACCTTAGACCCTGGCCCTGAGCCAGGTGCCTTCTCCTGACTTAGCACATATACCAAGTGTGGCCATGCAGGTGTCCAGTGTCTCTTAAGGGCTGAAGGCAGAGGAGGAGGCGCTGAGGCTGTTGGGGCAGATGGCACAAAGCCACGAGAGCCTTGGGGGCTCTGCTCTTCGTGTTCCCCCTCCCCCCCCAGGCACCATACCTAGCAGGGTGGGGTGCCAAGGATACAGCTCTTGAACTTCACGGGGAAGAAAAGGGCACATTGCAAAGCCCAGCAAATGCAACCTTATACTCCTTGGGGCCAGAATGTTGTTCCATGTAGTGGGATTTCCCAGAAGTGGTGCATGGCCCAGGACAGACTTGATACACACAGGGCTTTTCTAGGAAGTCGCAGGGAAGCTACTCACACCCTGGCCATCTCCCCCAGGACATGTGCTTTTGGCGAGGGACTGCAGGCCACCTGGGTTTTCAGGAGCAACAGTGACTGCGGTACTGAGGAGCAGAGGCTGCAGCCTTCCCTTGGGAAACCTGGGACTTCCTCTCTCAGATGTGGAGGGGAAGTGAGGAGGACTGTGTGTGTATGTGTGTGTGTGTGTGTGTGTGTGTGTGTGTGTGTGTGTGTGTGTGTGTGTGTGTGTGTACATGGACAAGATAGAGGAGTGTATGTCTCAGAGAGACAGACAGGTGGGTCTTAAGAAGTCAGGGTTGAACATGGGTGTGCTGGACACTTCAGAGCAGAGGCCACCCAGATTCCTGCCTTTACTGGAGACCGCCATCAAAGGCCCTGCCCGGATCCATGCCCCTGAACCTCCAGAGGACTGCAGTTACTGAAGGGACAACCCTGGGACAGGACACCAAACAAAGCAGGACCAGGTAGTCACCTTTGACTGTGACCTGGGAGGGCTTCAGCGTCTGCAGGCAGTAGTAAAAGGGCTGTGGGTGGCCAGGCAGGCTTGCAGGTATGGTGACATCCTTTCCAGGGGAAGGCTTCCCCATGGTGGTCCTGGCTGGGTGGGGTTTCGTAAAGAGCTGGAGAGGCAAAAGGACAGACACAAACCACACAGGTCACCAGGGCATCTGGTCAGATGAGCTGTTCCCGTGCAGGTCACAGCTAGTCAGAAGAGGCATCGTTCCTGTGTAGGTGACAGCTGCACCCCTGCTCTGGGCACTGTGAGCTGGGCTTGCTGCTGCCTGAGCTGAGCATAAACAGAACCATCTGGTTCAACCCTTTGATGCTGCAGATGAGGGGCCTGGGGCTCCAGAGAGGGGCAGCTACTTTCCCAAAGTCACAGTGAAGGGCGAGCAGAAGTAGTCCTCCTGGCTGCTAAATCCATCTCCTCCAAGCTGCTTGGGGAGAGGATGAGGTCACTGAGGAGCCCTGAGCACCCGGGAGAGCCGCCTTTGTGTCATGGCCTCAGAACAGCCCTCTTCCCGGCCTAGATGATGTGCCTCTCTTCGTCTGCTTGAGCTAGGGCTCTTGCTTTATTTTTGCCTTCCCTTTACAAACTCTCTGCAGGCACATCCATCTGGGCATCAACACAGAATTCTTTAGCAGCATTCATCTGAATACCAAGAAGCACGGGCAAACCTCATTAGTGGCCTTTCTTGTTCTCATTTTTCTTAGATTTCTACTGTCAAATTGTCCCCTTGCCAGATTTCTTTTGCTGCTTGGCAGGCAGAGTCTTTGCTCTTGGGCCAGAGCGTGCCACTGAGGCTGGCTCCTGCTCGCCACTCGCCCACCTGACTGGGCTCCTGCCTGGCTGGGCTGCTTTCTCCAGCCGCTGGGCACATTCCTCTGCTCCCAGGTGGAAGCATCCACAGTGGAGGCGGCTGCGATTGGAGCTGGCCTGTGCTGGGCACACGGCAGGGTGGGGCTCATGGGGAAGCTGGAGGTCTCAGAGCAGCCTTGGCTCAGCTGCAGCCCTTGGTTAGAGGCGGACTATCTAGTAAAGCTGGGTAGGTGATCAATGCAAATTGAAATCAGAATGATGATTTTTAAATGAGCAGTAAGGAGTGTTCTTCCTTTCATGGCAGAATAACTCTTAACACCACAGGCTGGGGCCCTGTAACAACTTAGCAGACACAGTCCCTTAATGGAACAGGGCACAGCCTTGAAGCACTTTGATGTTGTCTCAAGGCTGGAGCCACTTGAAGAATTCTAATTCTGTTGATTATTTAGAAATATATTTTTAAAAACTCATATATCACTGAGTAAAATCAGATTTTCAATTTGTGTGCATGCCATGATCACTGATGTGAAAATATTTTTGCTTGTGGACAAGAACTATGAATATATAATACAGGACACAGTTGCATGGTAGTAGCTACTATTTTGAGTTATTTCATTGCTTTATCTGAATGATTATATTTTTTTAATTAAAGGAATAAAACCATTAGGCTATTCAAGCTTCTTTCCTGAAATTCTCTCCTTTCTACAAAGTCTTCCTTGGCCAAACCCACATTTCGATGTGGCTCCATTGTCCCAGTCACCCTCCAGCCCCTCCATGTTCCCCTGACCTGAGAGTGGAGCACACCTGAGCATGTTGCATAGTGCCAGGTAAAAAAGGATGTTAATAGTTTTGCTGTTATTAGTTTTGCGCTAATTGTGAGATAGGCCCATCCAAGCTTCATGGTTACATGTGGGGAAGGCCATTGCCCAGGACAGTCTGGGACCTGGCTGGGTTTATGTAGTCATTTCCCAGTGGGGCTTCTGACTGCCCAGACTGGGACCCCAGCTTATGCAGCTGTGCTTCTGAACGCAGATGGTTGTGCCCAGGGATAAACGTCTCTACACTGAACTTAAATTTGAGGATCAACAGGGCTGGGATCAGTTAAGTAAGTGTGTAACTTTCTTGCACACCATTCATCAGGATGCCAACATGGTCACAGTGTCACATTGCTACATAACTACCCTGAGGGGGTGGAGCCAGCAGAGCAAAAGGCCCGTGTGAGATCCATGCAACTTCACCAGGCGCGCTGGAGGCAGAACTTAGATACTCCTGGTGCTCCATGTAGTAGGCATTGGAGCCAGCCAGCTGGGCTGGAGCTCTGCCTCTGTCACCCGCTAATGGTGCAATTGGAGGCAAGTTATTTAGCCTCTCCAAGCCTCAGTTTTCTGATTTGTGAAATAATCATTCCTATAGCCAGAGCTTATGAGAGGAATCAGTGAGGTAATCACACTAATAACTAATATTTGTTGCTAATCATATATCAGGCACTTTCAAGCCCTTGATGTCTTGACTCAGAATCTTCACAGCAACTCTGTAGGATAAATACATATATATAAATTAAACCCTGTGGATTTATTGCACTATCATAAGCCTCACAGATGGGGGCAGCCTTCATCATTATCATTAATGACATCATCATCTACATCAACATTAGCTGATAACTGAGGGTCCAGCCTTGAAATTGAGGGTGTAGGGAGATGACTGGACATGATATTCCCTCTCCAGTCCTCTCTCTTGCTCCTTTCCCAGGAGAAAACGTCCTCTCATTTTCAAGCTCACGCTGCACACCGTCTTTTGAGGAAGCAAGACAAAGGACACGGCACATTGTACCTGTTTGGGCACCTGTCCGAAGTTGCTGACGAAGCCCAGGATGGTGCTCCTGATCAGGGGGTCACTGATGCCGCTGAGGTCCGTTTTGTCACCATAGAAGTAGGGGTGGAAGGTATTAACAGCCTCCATTGCGGCTGACCCCTGCTGCTTGTACCCAAAAATGAGATCTATCCAGTGGTGGAGGTTGGCACTGACAAAGTCACTTTCCAAAGCCTGGAACCAAAACCCAAGAAGCATGACATACACAGGTTATTCTCATGAACTTGTGTGTCCTCCGCACACATCAGGAGTGGCACATGCATCAGGTTGCTGGCTCTCCACAGGGAAGGTGAATGGTGCCTCCCTGGGCTTGATGAGCACAAAGTGGGCAGACGTGCAGGCCCCAAAGACCACCCATTTCCTGCCTCCAGCTAGTAGCAAACAGATAGGACTATTCCCACCACTCTGGCTCAACCACTCCCTGAAATAACCATGAGGTTTGGAATATCTGTGTCATTCAATCCATGAGTGACATTTAAATGGAAGAGAACAGATTGAAAATAAAGCCTTGGGCCTGTTGAGATCTGACAGAGGAAAAAGGGAGGCTGATTCTGACAGAAGAGTGTCAGGAGGTTGAGCCTGGACAGTGGCAGCTAGGAGAATGTGCTCTGGAGCATATTGTCCCCAGCACTGCCATTTATGTTCCTTAACATCTCTGTTCCTCAGTTTCTACATCTGTTAAATGGGGGCAATAATGGTACCTTCTTTGTGGGTTTATGTGAGGATTAGGTTGTGTCTTTGCCTGGTACACAGCGAGCTCCATGTAGTGTTAGCTACAGTGATTACACTTAGCACCTATCAGGAGCCAGGCATTGGTTTGGGGTTTTAATGTGTACTGCCTGTTCATATTAATACCAGCTTTTGCTGGAAGGCACAATTACCCCACTTCAGGCTTATGTGTGGTTTTGAACCTACTGTCCCAGTCCCAACTTTCAAGCCTCAGAACCCCAAAGGGGGCTTCCAGCCTTGCTGTGCAGATCTTATCTCATCCCAGTACTTAGAAATGGGTGTGGGGACCTTTTGCAATCATCCCTAGAAGGAAAAGGATAGAGTCTACCTTTGAGGTGCAGCTCAGTCAACATGAATGTAAGCTTCACTGATTGGGGCACTTCTATATTGTCTAGGGCATGCAGGGCAAGAACATTTCACCCATGTATCTAAGGGCCAAGAGTGTGATGATCCTGAGGGACATTGTGCCCATTTACAGGCTCACTGTTCCCAGACGGGAGGACAAGAGATTTCTAGACTCAGCCACAGGGCCTTGCTCTAAGCTTAATTCCTCTCAGTAGATTTAAATCTCACTCCACTCAGGAACACAGCTTCCCCTTGAAGCCAGGTTGGCAATATTTCTCAACAGTTGCCACACTTGAGCAAAGGGAAATGTGCAACAGTATTTGGACATCCCAGTTTACCTGAAAGATGGTGCATGTTTTGCCAAGGAGAGCCCAACTTCCAGGCTGGGCCTCTAGACCTGAAGACATTCATTTGGGATTGTCTGGGCTTCCCTTGCTGATCCTCTGCCAGAATATGCAGCCTTATGCCGGGGCTTGGGGAAGTCAGGTCACCTGTGCCAGGTAAGTTTTCTGAGGCATATGGACAAAGTGGCTTCAAGAAGGCTACACTTGGGTCATGACTTAGGAGTTGTGATGAAAGTTATAGCTCTTCCAATCCTACTGTTTGGCCTGCAGCACACCTAAGAGCCTTCTTTAGATGTATTAAAGCAACTGTTGGTGACAGCAGAATGGTCACTGATACCCAAGGGATGACCACAGGCCAGGACAGCTGACCCTTCCTCTGGGCCTTTTCTTTCTATCACTTCAAAACAAACACATTTCCCATTTTTTTCAGGCTCTTTTGGAACATCCCTTCCACCTCCTTTCCTTAGGTGAGGCCTGGATCTCCCTGACCTCGAGGGGCAGCTACTTGCTCGATTCTACCCCGTGTGTCTTGGGGGCCCGCAGTTGGGGTGATGTTCTCCTTCATCCTCATTGCCACCTCTAGGCCATTATTCCTGTACCTTCTTATTAAAAGAAGAAAAAACATTCCTGCTCCTTTGGGTTCATGAGATTTAACTCTAACCCCCACACACACCCCGTTGTCCTCACCACTGGCATTTACCACTCGCTCTTCTCCTCATTCACTGAAGAAGCTGAATCCTGGCCACGCCTTTCTTTCCTCTGCAAGATCTGAGTGAGTGATTTCAGTCTCATATCTCTCAATCCCTTAAGCGCCACTTCTCCAAGGACTTTTGTATCCACTCCAAATAAAGTTTCTTATTCCCACAGACACCCTTTAACCTGTGACAGCATCCATAACTGCTCCATCTTCAGAGTCTCTCGGTCAAACATCCCAACTGGTGACAGCCACGTCCTCACCCTGATTGTTGCACTGCTTCCTGGCACCACGCTTCCCCCTCACCAAAGCTCCCAGTGCTTTTGCTCCTCTATTTCTTTACTGCTATCGACACATTCCTGCGTTCAGCCACATCTTGATCCAGCTTAGATTTAGTGGCCCATCATTTCAATAGCACTCTGGGCAATATGCCTCATTCTGTTTCTGAATCATGTGTACTTCTGTCTTTCACGGCACTCTGGGCAAACTCAAACATTTTCTGTCTTCATGCCTTCATCAGAGTGTCTGGAGGATATCATGCCAAGGGGCACACTGATCATCCTATCATATTTGGTCACTAATTTCAAATGGAGACTGAGCAATGTCAGAAGACACAGGTATGTTTCTCTGGTCAACTCATGCTCAGTCACTCCACATAACTAACATTTCCTGTGCTCTCCTCAACCCTGACCCTCCTCCACTTCAGCAGTTGATCATACCTCCCACTTCACAGAGAAAAACAGAGGCCACCAATTAGAAACTCCCACATTTTCCTGACAGCACATATAAACCTGCCTTTATCCATCACTCCCTGACTTCCCTCCCACCTGTTCAAGTCAAGAAAGTATCCCACCTGTTACCTAAAGATAAACCTATACCTGTGGTTTGGATTCCAAATCCTCCTGCTTTCTCAGGAACTTACTATTCCTTTTCTTACATATTCAATCTCTCTTTCCTACTGGCTATTAAATGTGTTTATTAGAATTAAGAAAAATAAAACCTTAACGTTCTTCTAACCTCCCATCTTCTCCATTTTCTCCCTATGTTCTTTCCTTCACAATCAGAATTTTTGCTACCCATCCTTACCATGTTATTATCATTCCTTATCACCATTTCCTGATCATCATTCATTTACTTTATTTCTCCATGTGGATTTGAATTACTATCTAGTGTCCTTTTATTTTAGTATAAAAAACTCCTTGTAGTATTTCTTGTAGGGTAATTCTGCTAGTGATAAATTTTGTCTTACTTATCTGGGAATGTCTTAATTAATTTCATTTTTGAAAAATATTTTTGCTATGGAGTCTTTCAGCACTTTGAATATGTTTCACCACTGCCTTCTGGCTTCCAGGGTTTCTAATTAAATATTAACTGTTAATAATATTGAAGATAACTTGTAAGCAATAATGTTGCTTCTCTCTTGTTGCTTTCAAGATTTTTCTTTTGACTTTACGCTTTGACAGTTTGATTATGATGTGTCTAGGTATGAATCTCTTTAAGTTTATCCTACTGGGAGATTACTAAGTGTCTTTGATGTATAAATTAATGCTTTGCATTAAATTTGGTTTTTTTTTCTGGACATTATTTCTTCAAATATTCTCTCTGCCCCTCTCTCCTTCCCTTCTGATACTTGGAATCTGGGTGTGTTGGTATACTTGGTGGTGTTCTTGGCTCTACCCATTTTTCTCCATTCATTTTCCTTTTTGTGCTGCAGACTGGATAATCTCAAGGGACGTATCTTTCAACTTGGCTGATTCTTTCTTCTGCTGCTCAAATCTGCTGCTGATTCCTTCTAGTGAATTTTTCATCTCAGTTACTATACTTTTCAGCTCTGCAATTTCTATTTGGTTCCTTTCTACAATTTTGATCTCTTTATTGATATTTCATCATTATCATACCTTCCTTTGTTCTTTAAACATGGTTTTTACTTAGTTCTTTGAATATATTTACAATAGTCAATTTAAAGTCCTGTTCTAATAAGTCCAAAGTTTGGCTTCCTCAGGGATAGTTTTTAATGGCTGTTTTTTTCCCTCTTTGTATGGGCCATATTTTCTTTGCATGCCTCATCATTTTTGTGGAAAATTTGACATTTTAAATAATATGAAGTGGCAACTCTGGAAATCAGATTCTGTCCTCTCCCCAGGGTTTGCTGTTATTGTTGATTTCATGACTTTACTGAACTAGTGTTATAAAGTCTGTATTTTTTTGTTGTATGTGGCCACTGGAATCTCTGCCCTGCTAGCTTAATGGTCAGCTAATGATTGATGAAGACTTCTTTACATGCCTGGAACCAGTGAGTCTTCTAGTCTTTGCCAAGAGAATGGTTTCAATGCTTACCTAGGTAGTTTAAAATAGTCTTTACCTCACATCCTACTTGCACTAAGCTTCAGTATCAGCCAGAAGTGAGAGCATAGGACCATTTTAGGTCTTTTTTGAGCATGAGTACTGCATGTCTCTCCTTTGTAGCATTTCTCACTTTTCCTTGTTATTTGTGTGGTTATTTGATCAATCTGCCTCCTCACTAGACCACTGGCATTTGCAGGTAAGCCTGTAGAGTGACTCTGCTCACTCATCCCAGACCAAGAACTTTCCTGAGAGTATCAGAAGGTATGGCTGCCGCAACCTGAAGATCAAGTTCATCTCTGATCTAAAACTCAAGACCAGTGATCTGTGGGAGGGATAATTGCTGTTACTGCTAATGAATTGCTGGGGGCAAAGATAAACCAGGGAGGAATTTTCTTTTGGCAAAGGGAGGAGGACAAAGGAAAAGGTCCATCTTTGTTGTTACTCATCAGACCTGCCTTAGATTTTTTTTCTTTTTAGGTATAATTTACATATAAAAATTCACCCTTTTAAAATGTACAGTTCAATGTGTTTTGACAAATGCATGTAGTTATATAACCACCACCATAATCAAGATATAGGACATTTACATCAACTTAAAATGTTCTCTCTACTCCTTTTCCATCATCCCCTATTTCAGACCTTAGTGACTACTGGTCTGTATTCTGTCCCTAAAGTTTTGCCTTTTCCAGAATGTCACATAAATAGAACCTCCTAGTATATAGCTCTAGGTTTTGGCTTCTTTTAGCTTAGCATAATGCTTTTCAGATTCATCCATGCTGCTCCATGTATCAATAGTATATTTTTTTCATTGCTAGGTAATGTTCCATCATACAGATGTATAATTTGTTTATACATTACTAAGTGGATGGACATTTGAGTTGTTTTAGTTTTTTACTAGTGTGAATAAAACAGATGAATATTTATGTACACACTTTTCCATAGACATGTTTTAACTTTTCTTGGGTCAATACCTACAAGTGCAATTGTTGGGTGATAAGCAATTTCATGTATCTTCAACTTTATAAGAAACTACCAAGCTTTTATTCCAAAGTGGTTGTTACCATTTTGCTTTCCCTGCCAGTAATATATGATGAATTCTGGTTGCATAACATCCTTGCTTAGTCTTGATTTTATCAATATTTTAAATTTTAGCCATTCCTATGGGTTTATAGTTACATTTCATTGTGGCTTTATGTTTCCCTGATGACTAATGATACTGTACCTATTCTCATGTGTTTACATTAACCCAGGTATTTGATCCAGGATATGTGTCAAAAAATGGCCTCTGGCTTCTACTCATATCAGCCTCTCTGGGAATAGGCCAAGTCTTCCCCAGTCCTGGCACATCCTTCAGCCAGTGGGCACTCTGTGGGGCCCCCAGCCCCCTCTCCAAGCTATGGGTATGACCCTGCCTGTAGGGCTGGCTGAACTCACTGAATTGCCCTCCAGGGTATCCAGCCAGAATCGGAATTTGCTCTCCCTGATGATTCCCACAACACACTGGCACAAGGACAAAGCCTAATGGAGCTTTTGGAAAAATCCAGAACCCCAGCCTTTTCCTGCCAACCTGGGGCATCAAGCGCAGCCTCTTCTCTGGGCTCTCCAGAGATAAAAGCCTCTGTAATGCTTGTCACTCGCCCTCCACTTGCACAGAAAGCCTCTGAGGAGAATGAGATCTTCATTCAGGATTCCAGGGACTATGCCATGACCCTGTTCAACTCACCTGTCTGTGCAGGCTGATGAATTTCCGAGGGTCCCCATCAGCCCAGGGAGGGAGCTGCACATCCCCCAGCACTGTCCCGTCCTGCATGCAGCCTGAGTGAGATGATAAACAGTAGGGCTTTGAATAAGTGGGAGTGCACACTGGGCTAGGAACCAGGGGCTATAAGCTCTGTGCTGCCCAGGACTGTGGATTCTGTACAGATCAGGCGGTGAGCTGGGTCCCGCACAGACCACTCTGCTTCCTGCCTTCACTGTCAGGAGTGTCCCCGCCTTCATCTACCTGGAATATTGTGGCTTGGTGTCCACATCTTTGACCCCTCCACAAGGCCCTCTCTGCTTCCTGGGAAGTGTCTGTGCTTGATTCACAAGTCATCTAAGATGATTGTGGGGTCGTCACTGTTTGCATGCTTCCCTTGCCACTACTCTATGCCTTCTCATCTGGGTAGGAAACAGTAAGGAGAGAATAACAGTAACAATAAAAGCAATCATATTTTGATCACCTAACTCTATGACAGGGCACAATGCTAGATGTTGACACACATTGTCTTATATAATCTTCATTCAACTCTACAGTTCATGCATTTTCTCTCCATTTTTAAAGTGAGGACAGCAAAGTTTTTAGACGCAGCTTCCCCAGATATTAAGAGGAGCCTGGATTCAAGCCCAAGTCTCTCTTCTACCCATTAGCTGCATAACCTTGAGCTTATTGCTTAATTTCTTTGGGATTTACTTATCCTACCTGGTACCTCCCAGAGCTAGTATAGAGATTAAAAGAGAAAATACACAAAAATTGCTTAGGAAAATTCCAGGCATATGCTGGTTGCTCAGTTAACATTAGTTACTGTCTTGCTTCAACCCTCTGGAACTTTCATAGAATAAACCTTCCTCTCCTCTAACCCAGAGAGCTCCTCTAAAGCCACTGTGGTCTTTCTCTTCACTCAGCCTCAACTCCTCTGCCACTAACTCAAGCATGTCTTTCCTGGGGACCAGAATAGTACAATCCTGCTGAGTCACTCTTGAACCATTTTCCTACCTTCTTTCCTCATAAAACTTCTTAGCATCAGACATTAGTTCACTTACTTAAGTGTCTGCATTTTCTATCCCCTTTCCTTACCCCAGTACAGAATATAAACATCTTCAGGGAAATCCAACCCAGGAGACCAACTAAATACCCAGTACCTAAAAAATCTCTACACACAGTAGGTGCTCAATAACCCCTTGTTTCCCTGATTTCTCTGAGGACACTCGGTCCTTGGCACGTGGGCCTTTTCCACAGCTCAGGTCCGCCCCTTGCTTCAGAGAGCCCTGCCTTTATTTCCAAGACAGAGATGCTGTTCTCCCTCCAGCGCTTGTCTCATGCCACTCTGGCTGCCTGACCCTCCTCTTGGCTCCACCATCCCTGATTTACTCCCTTGCCTTTTGTATTTGTCAGGGTTTCACCCCTGATGTGTGTGAGGCACCTGAGAATCTGAACCCTGCTCAGGCCACCAAGTTGCAGAGATCAGACTTGCTGGGCATGGGCTTGGGCATATTTAAAAATATTCCATATATATTCTGGCTGCAAACCACTGCAGAACAGGTGAGAGCCTGGGGCAGGGACTAGATCTCCTTGCTCATGCTCCCCTGGGTCTGCCCTGGTCTGGCTCAAAATGTGTGCCCTCTATGCTGTTTGGGGGAAGAAGGAAGGCCCCAAGGAAGGGGAGCTCTGGGGCACCAGGTGTGTGCTGGTGACAGTTCATGAGTGCCCTCCACAGGGTGGGCGATTCTACCCCCTGCTTCTGGGTAGAGGTGCCCACACCCTGCTCCAGGCTCTGACCACACAGCCTCACAAGTCACCCTGACATTTGCAGCGGAGGCTCCCAGGGTACACACAAAGGACCAGGGGACCTCCCCGCTGGGGCCTCCTGAAATTATTTCAGAGCAATAGGTTAGATGGTATGGGGTGGGACCCAAAAAAAAAGAGAAAGAGCCAGCCACCAGGCTACTCACACAACTGTCCTTGGACTTCATCCAGCCATCTGTCCCTGGAGACTCAGCTCATGAAGTTCAGGTTAATCCATTTATTGGATGTGGAGGAAAATGGGGCTAGAGGGTGGGGGCTTGCCCAAGGACATGCAGCAGGGCAGTGCCAGGCCTGGCTCTTAGCAGGGGCTCCTGCTCCCTGGGTGACCCTCACTGCTGACTGAGGCCTGGGGACCCTTAGAGGAAGGGTCATGGGTGGGACCAGGCTCAGAGCTGACCTCACAGTCTGGGGCCCGGCATCCCCAACCACACTGGTCTGGTGAGGGGCCTGCTCAGCAAAGACATCGATAAAGTTGATCATAACAGATCCACATTGGGGTAGGGAACCCTGCACTGCCTAGCCCACCCTGGCCTGGCAGGGGCCTCCACTTACCAAACTCCACCGCGTTGCAGTTGGTTAGGAACTCTGGCAGGTAGAAGAACTCTGGGGTCAGCTCCCTGACATCACTCATGTTTTCTCTGGAGGCCGACTCCCATGCATTCTTCATGCTGTGGAACATCCTATCTGCCACATCGAAGCTGCCACCCTGTGAGGAAAAAGGGCCACCATGGTCAGTGTTGAGAACTCAGGCTGGGAGGGCACTGCTCTGTGGGTCTCTGTTGGTCCAATCTATCTCTGAAGCACAGGCTCTGCCATTAGAACTCACTCGCTCTTACACACATAGCCATTCATTAGCCCACGTGTGCCTGCAATGATCTCTGCATGCAGCCTTCCACTCTGCCATTCCCGGAAATGTGCACCAGCAGTTCTACAGTGGATGCATGTTTGGAAATCTTGGTTCAGATGAGAGCCAGGAAAACCTCAGTCATTTGTCTGAGTGTTACCCTGCATTTGCTGAGGCCAGCTCTGAATCCCACATGAAGACAGGATGCTCAGAGCCAACTCTCAGACGCGTGGGCCAGACTCTCCGTGTGAGGGTCAGGGGAAACTTCCTGGAGAAGGTGACCCCTGGTGAGTCTACCAGCCTGGCAACAGAGAAGATGGCAGGATGCTCTGAGCAGAGAGCGAGGCCTAGGCCAAGAGCAGAAGTGGAAGAAAGCAGGTTAGGGCAGAGCCCTGGTCGAGGATGGCTGGCTGGAGGTACACCAGCCTTCAAGGTCATGGAGGTTGGTACCTGGAGACAAAATGTCTGCACCTCCTGCTAAGCCAGCCTTGGTGCCAAGAGCCATTTCCCCAGATGGCCTGATCTAGTCCCAAGCATGGCAGCTAGGATGGGACCAGGTAAGACTTCAAGCAGATTCTTTCCTGGAATTTCCTACTGCTCTCATCTGAATTGTCAGATCTCTTCAGCTAACATTACCTTTATTCATCAGGTGGTTTTGGGGGGTGGTAGGAGGTGGAGAAGTCCCACTTGGAGGAAAGAAGAAGCTCAGAAAGAGGGAGCAAAAAGTTTCTGAACCTGGGTTTTGGGTCTAAGTACAGATCTGCCATGGAAACACCTTCCCCCTGGGACTTGATAGCTCACTTGCCCCATCAGGGCTGGACCTTGCTTCTGCCAACTTCCACAGCGTGGACATGCCCTGAAAACAGATAGGTGGGACCCAGAATGTCAATGCCCTTCTCTGGTCCCATCAGCAACAGTCACCTTTCAGAGACTGCGGTTGCCTGGCAATGTTTACCTAAGGAAGACTTTGGGCAGCTAGAGTGGTAGACGAAGGGTAAGGAAGGGCACCGGCCTTCTCCTGACAAGTCCAGTCCGTGTTAGGCACTTTAGACATGTGTAGATTATCAGTTCTAATCCTCATAGCTGGTGCATTAGGGAGGAATGGGTATGTCCATTCTGCGGACCAAAAAATGGAGGCTCCTCAATGTTTAGGCTTTTTCTCATCGAAGCAATGACTGGCAGAGCTGGGGTCAAACCCACAAATGCAGCTCCAAAGGGCATACTTTGCCCTTATGCCAGTTTCCTGAGGGAAGCTCTGGGCCTGGAGCGAACTTGATCTACTTTATGTGGGCAAAGAGGACTTGGCTCTTTCTGAGAAGGGAGAGCTCGCCACACAACTGAGGTAGGACACACCTGGGGATCCTGCGGTTCTGGTCAGTTTTCCAAGTCAAACTTGAAGATCCAGTGAGATCCAAGGGTCATCCTCTGTGCATGGACAGGGACCCCAAGAGACCCAGTTACCTCTGGGGCTGCAACCAAACTCAGGACCCGGGCAGCTTGAAGATGTGGCTTTTTTCCAAGGTCACTTTGCTCTTGGTTGAAATTAGGGGATAATGCCCACCATCAGATTCAAATTGAAGTGGAAGAAAAACTGGAGGGGAGGAGAGTGTTTCTAAATAAGTCCACACCTAACAAGTCATTCATGGAAATGTATTATGAGCTTTGCATATTTAGTCTACAGCCAGAGCCCTATGTCTGCAGGAAATTGATGCCTTCTCGTCGTCCCAGTTTTTCCTTTTGCAGCTTTTATGAGTGCTGATGGTAATCTCCTGAGAAGCAATATGATTTGGTAATAAAAAGATTACCTGTATTAAATAAAAATAATATATACATAGGAAATATTGTTAGTGCTACAAATCTGGTTAAAGATATTACCACCAAGAAAAATGTTATTTTTTTCACAGCTGTCTAATGCATTTTAGCAAAAGTAATATCTTTAAAACTTAAGCCTGTATTATTTATAAAGGAAGCAATAACTGATTTCCCTATTTTCTATATTAATAAATGTATTTGCATACATTTGTTTCAAAATTAATGGGTTTTCTCCCTTCTGCAATACAAAAGAAACACAAAATTCCCTAGAAGAAAAAGTGAAGCTGTTTTGTTCACGTATTGTAAGTCTGCAGGCTGACACGGACTCTGGTGGCTGCCAGCAATGAGTCCCAGCCAGGACCAGATTCTCAGGGAAGGGAAGAAGGAGAACAGGGAGAGAAAACAGGAGCACTGAACCAGGAGAAGGAGGGAGGCGGAGAGGCACAGTTAAGGTTTACCGAGCCCCTTCAGAAGGAAAGTCCAAAACAAAATTCAGTCTGGAGGTTGGGTGGAAACAAAGTGATCAGAGAGAATTACTGAGCCAAGATTTGCTCCTACATCTCTTCTTAAAATACTCTTGAAGATCAAGAATAATGAATCCTATGTGTATTCAAACATACCAAAATGGAAAATAGCAAGGGTATTGTCAACAAAGGAAGCACCTCTTGTTGTCAGAAGACTTTCCCATGTGACACCACACCCAGAACAAGGCAGCCAGGGCAGGGGGTTTCTGAAGCAAATGGTCACTGCTTTTGAATGTTTGTGCCCAGCTCACACGTACAGGCCCCAGAAACATATTCGGAATATTAAGGGCTCAGAAGCAATATAAACCTAGATACCCTCTTCCTTTAAAAGACTTGAAGAGGTGCTCAGCTTTGCTAAGAGATGAATGAAAATTAAAAGCAAAATCATCGGGGGAAGAACTGTCTGACAAGGCCTGCTGCTGGGTATTGACATGAGTTAAAATCAGAGAAAAACCCATAGTTAAGGTACACTGATTAACACTGGAAACACCCTTGAAAGGAGGGCTCTTTAGTGAAAGCACCACTAAGGACACAAAATCTGTGTGTACCATGTCCCTGGATAAGCATTCGATTACAACATTCACAAACTTCTCTCCAAAATGGGTGGAGAAACTATACTGAAAAAAAAAAAGCATTCAAGTCTTAACCCAGACCTACAGGAAGTTCTGTAGCTGCATGTGCTCAAGGACTCTTAACACACAGATATTGTTACAATATGTGCTAGAAAGTCTTTTCTTTCTTCCAGGTAGGACTGATCCAAATCAACCCACCATCACATCCAAATACGGGATGGGGTTTTATGAGCAGGCTGACAACTCATTGTCAGGCAGATTTTCTTTCCAGTAAGTTAAAAGTATCCCACATTAAACAATTAATTTACAGGACTCTGTTGGTCCCTTGGTGGATCTAAGTTGCTGGCAGTTGTCCATCAACAAGGCAGTGTGTGCTGAGAGGGGAAAGTATCTTAGCTTTGGCACCACACTGACTTGGGTAAGAATTTCACTAATTAGTGTCTGACCCCCATGCCATCCTTGGCAAGCCTTGGAGGATCGCTGTGTGTGTTAGCATGAGTGTGAGTGCGTGTGTGCCTCCTCGGTGCCGGGCATGCAGGAAGAGGTGCTTGAGTGAGCCCCACCCCAACGCCCCTTGCCCATCAGACTAGGAACTGGGGAGCAATCCTGGGGGGTACCCCATCTCAGTGTGTTGTGGGGAGGTAACTGAGGGCTCAAAAATGAGAAAGAAGAAGGATTTAGAAGCAGAAGGTGGAGAATGGGGGACTGAGGAGGGGTGGGGTCCTGGGACAGGGCAGGGGAAAAGAGCAGGTGCACTGGGGCAGTTTTGAGGCAAAAGCACCCCCAAAGAGGTGAAGGGACAAATGTGTGCAGGGAAGAGAGTGCTGGACGTGGCCCCCTGCAGGCTCCCCCAGGAAGTCCCAGGCTCCAACATGCTCTCTGTGAGCTGGTCTGCGAGTCTGGCAAGCCCATGAATCAGGCCAGCTGCATTGTCAGTCCTGCTCTCCATGGAGGATAGGCTGACCCCAGAGTAGCCATTAGCTTTCCTTCCTTTTAGCCAACAAATAAAACCCACAAAGGCATTTTGAAAAATATGTTGTCTGCTTTTAAGGGAAAGACAGTAGACATGTATGGAAAACTTAGAAATAGCCAAACAATTCTCATGCTGTGTCTCACTAAATCCTCACCACCTGCTGAGTAAGGGGCTCTTTTAAAGGAGGAGGAAAGAAGGCCCCATTATTCAACACTACCAATTAGAAAGTTCTAGATCTGGGACTCGGTGCCAGGTCTGCCTGACTCTAGTACATGTGCCTTTCTAATACTACTCTTTGAGTCAGTATAATAATTACACCTTCATTTTGGACACAGCTCCACTGGGACCTGGGGGCTGTCCCCCTCAGAGCTCCCAGGCCAACAGGTCCAGGCAGGCCAAGTGCTGCCCATGGTTCTCAGCTCTCTCTGCAGTTAGCATATGTCTTACTTATATCAAAACCAGCCATCTCACTTCAGGTGGTTCAGGAAACCCTTTCCCACTGCTGGGAACAGCTGACTGCACATGAGCTGTGACTTAATTAAGGCAGCACTTCATTTCAGTTTCTTATTAAATACAGCAGCATCCCGTACTCTCCCCAGGGCCAGGCTGCCTTGCTCTGCCCTGCCAGCCTGGGTCTGGTCTCAGACCTGAGGGCCACTGGTGGCCCTCCCGGGGCAGAAATGGGGGCCTGCGCTGTGGCCTCGGCAGCAGTGTGGCCTTTCACTTGATCAACTGTACGAAGACTCATAGACATAGGCTCCAGGCAGGAGAGATTCCTGAGAATTACAGCATCAGGGGAGATAAGGCCCTGGCTCCTGCCTGACAGTAGTCTCACAGCTTCAAGGGAGTGAGGTAACTGAGCACACAACCCTTGTGCCTGGGCCCCACTGCCTGCATGTGTCACCTCAAGCCACACTGCCTATATACCCTATGCTCTGGATTGTAAGAGACTATCATTATAATAATGGGTTTGGGGCAGAGAAACAAACATAGCAACAACGGAGGTATGCATCAATTTTAAACTGGCCCAAACTCAGTAAGATTTAAACATGAAGTGTTAAACACACCTTCCACCCAGGAATCAGAATGTACTGCGCTGCAATTCTTAGGCTGTGTGTGAGCCCCTCACACTGTCCATGTCCTTCTGCATGGTGCCCAGTGGAGGGTCACAGTGCCCAAATTCTGTGCCTGCCCCAGAGCTGCATCAGACCACAGAAGAGGCACAACATGGGCACAGCTCTCCACACCAAAGATGCTTCCATGGCCAAGCTTTTGAGCAAGCATGTCACTCTGGTAAGAGGCAGAGTTTATTTAATGGAGAATGGAAAAGCACACACTTTCTTATGCTGCCATTTGAGCACACACTTGGCTCTGGAAAGACCTGGAGTTCTTGCTTTCCTTCTCTCCAGAGAGATGAAGAAGGCCTTGCTGCCCAGATTCTGCATCCTCTCTACCTTTCTCTTCCCCAAACCACACTTACTCCAGGGTTGCAGATATAGTGAGGCTCTTCTGCTTGTCACCACACGGGGTTCTTCACCCTTTGAGAAGAAAGGACTGCCCCTAAGGAGGCAGGGTAGGGCTGGAGGGAAGAGCCTGGCTTTGGGAAGATGCCAGAACATTTCTAAGGAGGCCTGGGAAGGCCCCAGGATGCCCAAAGGGGAGTCAGGCATGTTCCCCAGATGGAGCCTTCATACCTATTCCCCTGGGAGATAAAGTTCATCTTGTATTCTAAGGAAAAAGCAGAAGATGGTTGGTTCTTCTGCTGGTTCCAAAGGCTTCACTTGGAAGTAGGGAGGTGAAACCAATTCAGAAGCACACACAGAGAACCCAGATGATTTCAACTGGGATGGGCCAATATGGCACAGATTTGAATCCAGAAAAACTGGGAGTCACATCAGACTTCAACATGGGAGTCAAAAAGGCTCAAGCTAATATGACTACGTTTGTGTCGCATAAAAGCGTATAAAATTGGTTCTGATCACAGTTTGGACCATCTCAGATCAAAGTGGCCTGAACCCAAAATTCTCATGGGTTTGCAATACCTGTTTCTTCTGGCCTGTGCCATCTTGGAAAGCTTTGACTTAGGCCAGACTGTCTTGAATCAGCTTAAGCCAAAAGGGACCAGCTTGAGCAAATTCTCATGGGTTGCAGAGGGAAGAAGGGAGCTATCAATGATGGATGGCCTACGCAGTGTCAAGCCCTGAGCTGGAGGCTTTGCCCATATTTCCTTATTTAATTTCAATAGCCCAGTGAGATGTGTCTAATTAACCCTCATTTCCAGGGGTAAAATAACTGGCAGAAGACTTCGTATCTATGAAGTGGCAGAGCTGGCATGTAAATCTGGCTGAATCTGTTTCTGTTTTACTCTGCCTCCCCTCCATGGGAGAGGACCTTCAGTAACAGATAGAGATGGGTTTTCATGCATTAGGCTGAAGGAGCTGGGGAAGACTTCTCAAGCACCCAGTGGCCCCTAGATGGAAAGTTGTAATGGAACGCATCACCGTCATCATTAACAGTCATCATCATTGCCTGTGGATTAATGAGCAACATCTGGACACAATTCCTGGCATGGCGTACAGCTCCGGGACCATTTGTTCTTCAAATCAAACTTACTTAAAATGCTTGTTGCCTGAGAAAGGCTCAAGGGAGACACACTTATTATTTTTGAGTGAATTTCCAGGGACGGGGGTTATACAATGTCTAGACAATCCATGCTTTCAAGGAGAGAGAAGACTGTGTCAAGAAATAGAAGACAGGAGGGTTTTTGCTCCTTAGTGGAGAGAGCGCCTTGACCTTGCCTAGCCATTCCTGCCCAGGGCCCAGGAGTTAGCTTTGGTAATAATCCAGGGTCTCTCAGGGTCAAGGTCATCTGAGTGACCACAATGAGTTACCTTGCTATTGAGGTTGGACCAAACAATACAATTCCTGGAACACTACTTGTGCTGTGCCTTTGGTGAAGCTTCACTGTCAGGATAAGTCCTGTGTGTTATGTGGCCTGTCACCGAATACAGCTCATGGCCTCCTCTCCACAGGATACTTGCAAAGCCTGGGCCATGTGCTGTATTTGCTCTGGGGTTGGCTGAGCCAGCTGACTGCAGCTGGGCTATCAAGAGCATTCCCCAGTCAAAAGCTATGGCTCTGTGATAACATGGGAAGCAGGACCCCAGTGATGAGGTCAGAATGGGAAGAGAGAAGAACTTCTCAGCTGCCCAAAGGGGACTCAGGCCAGCAATCCCATGTGCCTTGGACACTACCACCCACTCAGAGTGAGATTTGCTCACTTCCAGCTGTATAGGGCTGCCAAGTGAAACACAAGAAAGCTCAGCTAAATTTGAATTTCAGATCAACAGCAAATACTTTTTTAGTATAAGTCCTTGTTCATCTGAAATTCAAATTTACCTGGGCATCCTGTATCTTTATTTGTAAAATCTGGCAACCCTAAGCTGGCAGGACGATCTGCTAGTTTGAGAGGACAAATTGGTTAGCCTCTTTGCCTGGTTTAGTTGTTATTTCAGTATTCAAACATTTTGTTTGTCCTTATAAGCCTTTTGGCTTACACTTAGCATAGCTGTATGCTTTCTGATGGCACAAGCCATATTCTTTCCATTCCTTCTACTTGCTGCTTGTTTTTCTAAATCTTTGACCACCTACCTTCAAGTCTTCAAGCTTCCTGCTTTTTCTTTGCCACTAAAACCTATTTATGTTAATTTTTCTTCCCCATATCTCAGTCTTTATTTTTTAGATTCTTTTTTTTAATCTGCAGTACTGTTGGGCAGACATGTGGGTGTAACTGAAGAAGAGCAGCCTGCCTGGGAAGGATGGCCCTGAATCCTGCAGCAGCATTAAGTGGGAATCCCTGGGAGAAGACTGGATTTTTAGCAGGGGGCCCCACTCTTAGTCCATGAGATACAGCTTGTGTGTGTGTGTGTGTGTGTGTGTGTGTGTGTGTGTGTGTGCGCGCACGCAGGTGTGCCTGTGAGAATAGGGGGGTGGGGGAGCTCACCTGCAGAGAACAGAAGGCCTGAGTGAAGGGCGGCATCCGGACCAGGTAGGAGGCGACAATGATGGCTGAGGAGTAGTGGGTGCAGTAGTGGCACTGGGCTGTCATGTCTCCTGCAATGAGAGGACATGCCTGGTTGACTTCCCTGAGTGCTGCGCTGGCTGCAGATGCTCAAGCTAACCATGCTTAGGTGTGAACAGCAGGGCCAAGCCCTGCTCGAGAGAACACATGCAGCCAAGAGTGCCTTGGTATTCTGCCCACAAGTGTCATTATAACTGGGCTGATAGCCACCACCCATGACAAGCATATTCACAACCCCCAGCTGCACCCCCAAGTCCTCAGTGGTCTGCCCTCCACAATGTGGGCAGAGCCAGGTTCCGGGAAGGCTGTACTGAGGATTCACAGGCAGGCATGCTCTGGTCTCTAACTGAAGGGAGACCTGGAAGCCCAGCATGCCTACACTCCCGCCAGCTATGATTTCTCCTCCTCTTCTCTTTAGAACAGAATCCCCTGTGTGAGGAGGCAAGACTCGTGAACTCAGGGACATCCCGGTGAGCGTGGGGATACAGGTCTCCTCATTTTCAGAGGGACCTGGGGTCAGAGGTACACACTTCTCCATTTTGCTTCTTCCAGGTTCTGGTGGAGCCAGAACATTGAGGCAGAAGTTGCCAATGGCCAGCAGAGAGTGAGAGCCATGCAACCACCTGCACACCCTCGTGCATGCTGTGTGCCCTCTGCACTCTCTCCTTGAGTCTCCACAGAGCCCCTATGAGTTGGTGCTGTTCATCACCCCCATCTAGTAAAGGGAGAAGCCAGAGTGCAGCAGAGAGTTGCTCATGTCAGTAGTGAGAGGCGTGTCTGGCAGGTGGCATGGTCAGCCAGGGCCTGCCTCAGTTTCCCCAAATGTCTGCTCAACCATTTCGCTGCCAGTCCCACACTTTTGGGCCTTCAGGAGTTCTCTAAATCAGAGTTGTCTGGGATGTTGCTGGATGTCCTTGTGCAAGGGCCTGAACTTAGTGTGCAACTCACATGCACACCTGAGTTGAAACAGTAGTGAACAGTGCCACAGGCCCCACCTGGGACACAGCTGGAGAGCTCTGGGGCTCCTCTGGCCTGTGCCTATGAAAAGGACCCAGCCATGGGTGGCTGGGGCACCGCACCTGGGCAGGGAGGCTGCGTGGGGTCATACTGATTGAACTTTAACCTCAGGAGGCGAAAGCCTGCCAACCCTCCAACCTCCTTCCATCTCTCCTGAGGAAATTTGGGTGCCAGCCCCATGCAGAGTGGGGGTCTTGGGCTGCATGAGTGAGCCTCCTCAAAGTGTGTTCTCTTTGATTATCAAGGGATTTTTCCATGGCTCATGGATGGACGCTCCTTATTTTAATAGTTATATGTTTATTTCAAAGTGTTTGAGAAAACCAGCTTAGCTAATATCAAACGCATGATAGAAACACTGTTTTAAAAAACACATTCCCTTAAGTTTAAGAAGTGAATAGACTTAAAGAAATACATTAAGGCAGTGGGAATAGAGGTGGCATGAAAATGTGGCAAATTGTAAAGGTGATGTGCAGATGTTCCAGAACCAGACGGATGCACGCTCTGCCATTCAGAGGCTCTGATGTTAACTGAGCTACTTGAACTCCTGAGTTTCCTTCTTTTCAAAAAGGAGTGTTGTACATAGGAATGTAGGTTGGCCTTCGCCTGGAGTATAAAAAGTGCTGAATGAATGTTACTTCCCTCCATCTTGCCTGTGCCTAGGTACAGCGGTGTTAGCTCTTAGCAGGATAGTTTTGCAAGGGTGGCATGGACCAGTGGATTAGAGAGCTCTCTATTCAGATGCAGATGTTTATAGGCTAGGTGATGGCCTAAATAGTTATCAACCATCACATCAAAGCATTCAGATGAACAGCATGGCAGAAAAACCCAGGCTGAGGGTCTACCCACCTTCAGTCTTCTCAACTTCTTTAAACCTCTGGATAAACTTCAGCTTCCTTTCCTTGGTCTGAGCTCCCATGGGCTTTGAAAGATCCCGGAAAGTCTTGGGATTTGTCAAGTTCAATGTCTAGAAGGCAGATGTGCAGCTAAAGTTAACTCCCCTTAGACCCTCCTGTGCCCCGGCGAGACTTCTGGAGCCACGCTCTTTAGTTTTATGGTTTTCTTTATTGGTTTCTTGTCATTTGGTCTGACCCCCTTCTGGTGATTCGCAGACGTGCTGGGGTTTTATGGCCCCAGAGCCAGTGATCCACACAGACTTAACAGGGGAGAGAAGGAAAATAAGAGGAGGGGGAGATTGGGCTCACACTGAACCTGTTCCAAGCTGATCCAGATCAGAGCGTCACCACCAGGTACTGAAAAGAGACTTTCAGTAGAATCCCTGCTGTCTGTGAGGCTCTGGGCTGCTGCCCTCCTGGGGCAGTTTACTCAATTGGTCAGGGCCCTTGCCTGGAATCAAATTGATTTTTATGAAGTCAGAGTTACATGTTTGGGGAGGAAATGGGGAAGAGCCTCATTTTTCTGGAGGCCCTCTCCCTTCTGGGCAATGAAAGCAGGCCACGTCACCCTTCCACCACCTCCCTTGGGAATACACAGAAGAGGAGACCGGAAGCTTTCAGGGCCAGGTGTCCTTACAGATGTTTGCTTTTAGCAGAGATGTTCTGCTTGGTGGCAGAGGAGCCAAGTATCCTGTGGGGTTTCTGTGTCTTTACAGAACTTGTTTCTTCATCCCTCCCTTCCTTTTTCCTAGCAGCTCCCCTGGGGCAGCTGGGCCTGCCACCATCCCACACCTGCAGGAGCTAGCGGGGCTAAGAGCGAAGCAGACACTCCTAAAAGCCTCGTGAGTGATGGCATGCACGGAGAGCCGTGCTCTGCTACAAGCAATTTTGCCAGTGCAGAATGTGGCTTCATGGTTACCAGATCTTCTGATTCTCCAAAAGATACTGGAAATCCTGATTTTTATAAGAAATCTCCCATTTAAAAAATGTTGGTAAGTAATCAAAATCTTGGGTTAAATAGAAAGGGGGGTGGTAAACCACTCCTTTGCCGCCTGTAAGTTAAAGCTAGGATTTGCAAGTCTCATTTTTGAAATATGGGCTGTCATGTCTCCTGCAATGAGAGGACATGCCTGGTTGACTTCCCTGAGTGCTGCGCTGGCTGCAGATGCTCAAGCTAACCATGCTTAGGTGTGAACAGCAGGGCCAAGCCCTGCTCGAGAGAACACATGCAGCCAAGAGTGCCTTGGTATTCTGCCCACAAGTGTCATTATAACTGGGCTGATAGCCACCACCCATGACAAGCATATTCACAACCCCCAGCTGCACCCCCAAGTCCTCAGTGGTCTGCCCTCCACAATGTGGGCAGAGCCAGGTTCCGGGAAGGCTGTACTGAGGATTCACAGGCAGGCATGCTCTGGTCTCTAACTGAAGGGAGACCTGGAAGCCCAGCATGCCTACACTCCCGCCAGCTATGATTTCTCCTCCTCTTCTCTTTAGAACAGAATCCCCTGTGTGAGGAGGCAAGACTCGTGAACTCAGGGACATCCCGGTGAGCGTGGGGATACAGGTCTCCTCATTTTCAGAGGGACCTGGGGTCAGAGGTACACACTTCTCCATTTTGCTTCTTCCAGGTTCTGGTGGAGCCAGAACATTGAGGCAGAAGTTGCCAATGGCCAGCAGAGAGTGAGAGCCATGCAACCACCTGCACACCCTCGTGCATGCTGTGTGCCCTCTGCACTCTCTCCTTGAGTCTCCACAGAGCCCCTATGAGTTGGTGCTGTTCATCACCCCCATCTAGTAAAGGGAGAAGCCAGAGTGCAGCAGAGAGTTGCTCATGTCAGTAGTGAGAGGCGTGTCTGGCAGGTGGCATGGTCAGCCAGGGCCTGCCTCAGTTTCCCCAAATGTCTGCTCAACCATTTCGCTGCCAGTCCCACACTTTTGGGCCTTCAGGAGTTCTCTAAATCAGAGTTGTCTGGGATGTTGCTGGATGTCCTTGTGCAAGGGCCTGAACTTAGTGTGCAACTCACATGCACACCTGAGTTGAAACAGTAGTGAACAGTGCCACAGGCCCCACCTGGGACACAGCTGGAGAGCTCTGGGGCTCCTCTGGCCTGTGCCTATGAAAAGGACCCAGCCATGGGTGGCTGGGGCACCGCACCTGGGCAGGGAGGCTGCGTGGGGTCATACTGATTGAACTTTAACCTCAGGAGGCGAAAGCCTGCCAACCCTCCAACCTCCTTCCATCTCTCCTGAGGAAATTTGGGTGCCAGCCCCATGCAGAGTGGGGGTCTTGGGCTGCATGAGTGAGCCTCCTCAAAGTGTGTTCTCTTTGATTATCAAGGGATTTTTCCATGGCTCATGGATGGACGCTCCTTATTTTAATAGTTATATGTTTATTTCAAAGTGTTTGAGAAAACCAGCTTAGCTAATATCAAACGCATGATAGAAACACTGTTTTAAAAAACACATTCCCTTAAGTTTAAGAAGTGAATAGACTTAAAGAAATACATTAAGGCAGTGGGAATAGAGGTGGCATGAAAATGTGGCAAATTGTAAAGGTGATGTGCAGATGTTCCAGAACCAGACGGATGCACGCTCTGCCATTCAGAGGCTCTGATGTTAACTGAGCTACTTGAACTCCTGAGTTTCCTTCTTTTCAAAAAGGAGTGTTGTACATAGGAATGTAGGTTGGCCTTCGCCTGGAGTATAAAAAGTGCTGAATGAATGTTACTTCCCTCCATCTTGCCTGTGCCTAGGTACAGCGGTGTTAGCTCTTAGCAGGATAGTTTTGCAAGGGTGGCATGGACCAGTGGATTAGAGAGCTCTCTATTCAGATGCAGATGTTTATAGGCTAGGTGATGGCCTAAATAGTTATCAACCATCACATCAAAGCATTCAGATGAACAGCATGGCAGAAAAACCCAGGCTGAGGGTCTACCCACCTTCAGTCTTCTCAACTTCTTTAAACCTCTGGATAAACTTCAGCTTCCTTTCCTTGGTCTGAGCTCCCATGGGCTTTGAAAGATCCCGGAAAGTCTTGGGATTTGTCAAGTTCAATGTCTAGAAGGCAGATGTGCAGCTAAAGTTAACTCCCCTTAGACCCTCCTGTGCCCCGGCGAGACTTCTGGAGCCACGCTCTTTAGTTTTATGGTTTTCTTTATTGGTTTCTTGTCATTTGGTCTGACCCCCTTCTGGTGATTCGCAGACGTGCTGGGGTTTTATGGCCCCAGAGCCAGTGATCCACACAGACTTAACAGGGGAGAGAAGGAAAATAAGAGGAGGGGGAGATTGGGCTCACACTGAACCTGTTCCAAGCTGATCCAGATCAGAGCGTCACCACCAGGTACTGAAAAGAGACTTTCAGTAGAATCCCTGCTGTCTGTGAGGCTCTGGGCTGCTGCCCTCCTGGGGCAGTTTACTCAATTGGTCAGGGCCCTTGCCTGGAATCAAATTGATTTTTATGAAGTCAGAGTTACATGTTTGGGGAGGAAATGGGGAAGAGCCTCATTTTTCTGGAGGCCCTCTCCCTTCTGGGCAATGAAAGCAGGCCACGTCACCCTTCCACCACCTCCCTTGGGAATACACAGAAGAGGAGACCGGAAGCTTTCAGGGCCAGGTGTCCTTACAGATGTTTGCTTTTAGCAGAGATGTTCTGCTTGGTGGCAGAGGAGCCAAGTATCCTGTGGGGTTTCTGTGTCTTTACAGAACTTGTTTCTTCATCCCTCTCTTCCTTTTTCCTAGCAGCTCCCCTGGGGCAGCTGGGCCTGCCACCATCCCACACCTGCAGGAGCTAGCGGGGCTAAGAGCGAAGCAGGCACTCCTAAAAGCCTCGTGAGTGATGGCATGCACGGAGAGCCGTGCTCTGCTACAAGCAATTTTGCCAGTGCAGAATGTGGCTTCATGGTTACCAGATCTTCTGATTCTCCAAAAGATACTGGAAATTCTGATTTTTATAAGAAATCTCCCATTTAAAAAATGTTGGTAAGTAATCAAAATCTTGGGTTAAATAGAAAGGGGGGTGGTAAACCACTCCTTTGCCGCCTGTAAGTTAAAGCTAGGATTTGCAAGTCTCATTTTTGAAATACCTCAGCCTCAGATGGATCATTAGTGCAAAAAAAGTAACATATGGCTGGTGAGAAAAGTTTCGCTGCAGTCGATATCTTAATTGGGGATGGCAAGTCACAAAAGACCGAGGTGCCCTCTTCCAAATCCTGGGGGCCATTCATCCTAGGCAGGACTGGCCAGGGCTGGTCTGTACCAGGAGCCAGCTACCTTCCGCCCTTTACACACACAGCCCAGCACACCTCCTGATGGCCAGAGCCCAGGTGGCCAGGACACTGCTTCATAGCCTGATTGTCCCCAACCACGTCACCGTGGTCCAGCTGTGCCAATGTTTCTCCTCCTCCCTGCCCTGCTTGCTGAGGTCCAGAGGTAGGGGCCACAAGAGCAAATGCTCTGGCTTTTCCACCAGCCTCCCCTCTTCCCACATGTCTTAGCTCAGATCCTGGGTGAAGCTCACCTACCATCAACTAAGATACTGAATTCAGGCTATGGACTCATAGTTCATTCTCTTTGGCCTCTGGGTCTCTGGGTCTCTCTCTCTTGCTCTCTCCTATCTCCCCCACCCCCAACCCTGCACATGTTGATTCTAGCAACAAATTCCATGGCCCACTTCATTAGAAGGACCAGTGTTGGTCCACGGCAGTATCCCAGCAGATGGGTATCAGCTGCCTTCCTTAGAGTAAGGAAGCCAGGAAGCTCTTTGGGATGCACTCTAGCAACTGTCTTAGTCACACTGATCATAACACAGGTGGGGCTGGGTAGGAATGCAGGCAGCCGGACTCCAAAGGCCTCCTCCAGGGCAAGGGACTGAGCACAAGGAAGCCCTCAGGCCCAGGTAGACTGAACCTCGCAGCAGAGGCTCTGCGGGCTAATACAGGGTGCTCTGGTCTTTGGTCAGAAAGCCTCAGGATACCTTTGCAGTGTCTGTGTAAACATGGTACCTGTGAGGTGTAGTCAGCCAGGACCCAGGGGAACACTGGATATTGCATGTAGTCACTGTAGGTCCTCCCGGCCAGGGTGTTGAGGTGCATGAGATACTCAAAATTGCTGATGTCCCTTTTCTACCAGAAGAAACAAAGATAGGTAAACCCAAACACAGCTGATGTCTTTTTTGGGGGGTGTGGGAATCTAACTCTCAGCCCTCTGCAGGAGACCCTCCCCGTGCAGATGACAGTGGGCAGCGTGCACCTCTGTTACTCCCCAGGTGCCTTGTACCTGAGCCAGGCTGTTTGAGGGAGGCCACAATCACTTCAATATGAGCTAAAGCAAATATAGTCAGGAAGCAAAGTTGGCCAGAAAAAAAAATACAGCTCAGCAGTCCAAAGCCTAGGGTAAAGCACTTTTGTGTTAACTGTTGGGGTGATACTCAAAAATTGATTAAAATAATAGCACAAATGCTGTGGGTGAACTCACTGCTGACACCTTAATATTTAAAAAATAAGTTGAAGGGACTTTGCAGTCACTGGGAGAGAGGCCCTTACCAACAGGCTGGCCTGTTTTCCTCTGGGACTTTAGGAACTTTCTTTATCTTGTCCCTGCCTCTTGGGATAATACTCATTCTCAGGGCCTTTAGATATGTGGTCACAGATGGAGTCTGGGATTGTATTTGGGGAAAATTCATCAAGACCAAGCGGTGAACAGCTGTTATCTCTGATATGCACCTGCAGGCTCTGGTCTCTCCTCTCTTTGGCCCACTCCTTGGGAAAGGAGTTTGGATGTGCATGGCCAAGATTTAATTTCTTGTTGCTATGTGACCTCTGGGGTTGGCCCTCTTGGGGTCCCTTTCTCTCCCTGAGAATCCTAGGCTGAATGCCAGTTCACCCAGGATGGGAGTCAAGTGTGTTTTCCCAGGATAAGAAGTGAACACTTGTGCCCCTGTAGGGTTGTGTCCCTGTGTACACCTTCATGGACGGAGCATGTGTATGCCCATCGGGCATGTGTACACACACATGCACACACACACAGACACTACCCAGCTCTGACTCCAAGGCTCAAGAATCAACTTCAGTCACTGCGATCTTGCCATGGAAATATTGCAAAATTTTAAAATTGAAATTAAATTTAAAAAAAGCTAAGATGCTTCCTGATTCATCCTCATGCCTTCTTTCTCCATCACTGGAGCCTGAGCTATGTGATGATTTGCATCCCCAGACAGCTCCCTCAGAGCCCGTCTTCGGAGGGGGTTGCTGTACCTGCCACCGCTGCAGCGTGGTCCTGTCAGAGCCGGGATGTCTCCTGTGGGACAGAGAGTGATGGTGATGACCAAGTATCTCAGCGCAATAATGGGGTGGGGGATGGCATTTCTGGGGTTTGTGGGACCAGCACAGCCAGGAGAGCCACAGACTTCCCTGGGCACACAGCTGCTCTCTCAGCCAGGGCACCAAGATGATTATCCAAGCTTTTCACACCCCCACCCTGCTGGAGTCACTGTTGCTGCTGCCTTAAGTGTGGGCTGTGGAGAAGTCCCAGCGCCATGTAGAAGCAGGCTCAGGGCCTCACCACCCCCAGTAGATTTCCCACAGCCACACCTTGGCCTTCTTTGCCCATATGAATATAATATATTGACACATGAATATAATATATGTATGTGGTTAAAACATGTAAACAATATAGAAGGCTATGAAATATAAGTCTCCAAACTACTGCTCCATCTCAAGAAGTCTCCACAGTTAATAGTTTCCAGAGGAGTCTGATCCACATGCCGTCTATATGCCTACACAGTTTTCTAAAAAAATTGACAAGGCATGGGGTTATCTCACTGCACAGGCCTGCACCCTGCCTCACTGCTTTAACAGCACGGTGGAGATACTTGCGTTGCTGTATGGCATGGGTTTTTACAGCAACAGGAGGCCACTGTGCAGAACAGATAGGAACTGGCCGAGTCTGCCCCTGAGGTGGACTTCATCCTCATCAATGATATTTCCCTGACTGCCTTCACACATAAATCCCTAAAAACTTTGTGAGCATATCCATAAGATACGTTTCTGGCAGCGATTCTAAAAAGCATAAACATTTTCAAGTTTGCTCTATGTACTGACAAATGGTCCTCTGAAAAGGTTGTACCAACTTATGTTTCTACAAATAAAATCAAGAAATACACAAGGAACCAAAGAAATACCATTTAGACCAATGTGGTAGGGAGGAATGTAGAAGCTAAGCACCATACAGTGGTAGGAAGGGGCTTTCTCATGGGAAACGTGCCTTCTGCTCAGTAGGGATTTGAAAGCCCAGTTCCTCAGCCTCTGTGGCATCCCTTGTTCTTTTCTAGCTCTGCTTCTTTCTCCGTCTGTCTCCTTGAGACTCTAATTCTACTCCCAAGATAAGGACTTTGCTTAAGGTGGTCCATCAAACCAAACCAAACCAAATCACGACTCCACTTTCCAGTTAGGCCCTCTGCCTCAGTCCTGTTCAGGTACATAGAGACCTGACCCCACAAGCATTCAACGTTCCACCCATGTGGACGGCAGCAGGGTCCTCTCTCGGGACAAGACCTGGCTTCCCAAGTGGCTGGTGGAGCAGCGTGTCATCTTCTGGCCTGAGCACTGCACCACATCGAGTTCCCTGTCCCTCCTCATCACTCCATTCCTTGGTAGATTTTCTATAAACAGGAAGCACCTCCCAGGCTGGGGTTTTCCTCTTCTCCCCCAGGAGAGAAATCCTTGATTTGGTCCATTTTATCCAGGCAAATAACAAACAGAGGTAGAATGTGGTCAAGTGTATTGCTTTAGCTTACAATGTCTCAAGTGAAGACTTGGTTCTTCTGCGCTGTCTGTGAGCCTACCCACCTACCCCAGTTCCAGAAGGCAGGCTGCTTTGAAGGCTGTGAACTACGGCAGAGCCCAGGCTAGAGACAGTGAGGGGCGCCACATTGAAAAGGACTGTGCTGAGCCTTCTTGAGGATGTGGAGTAGAGCTATAAGGATGTGGAGTTAGTAAGGCAAAGCCTGCTAATCACGCTGCTTTACTTAGAAGTGGAGTGGGAATAAATCAGCAAAATGTGCCTGTTAGGTTCCAGGATACAAGGGCCAGAGTTCTAGAATGTTACCTGTGGTCCTTTGTGACATTGCCACCAGATGGAATGGTGTGCAAAAGATAAAGGCATTTCACCATCTTATTCCTCATTTCATCAGGTATAAGCTCTAAGAAGGATCCATCATTTTGTTACCATCAGAAAAGGATGCCATTACCAACAATGCCAAGATACCTGACAAAAGGTGAGTTCTACTTTTTAATTTTTTTATTTTGATACTGTTAATGTACAATTACTTGAACAACATTATGGTTACTAGACTCCCCCTATTATCAAGTCCCCCCAACATACCCCATTACAGTCACTGTCCATCAGCATAGTAAGATGCTATAGAATCATTACTTTTCTTCTCTGTATATACTGCCTTTCCCGTGTCCCCCCCCACACCCTCCCCCCACTACATTATGTGTGCCAATTGTAATGTCCCTTTTCTCCCCTTATCCCTCCCTTCCCACCCATCTTCCCCAGTCCCTTTCCCTTTGGTAAATGTTAGTCCATTCTTGGGTTCTGTGAGTCTGTTGCTGTTTTGTTCCTTCAGTTTTTTCTTGTTCTTATACTCCACAGATGAGTGAAATCATTTGATACTTGTCTTTCTCTGCCTGGCTTATTTCACTGAGCATAATACCCTCTAGCCCCATCCATGTTGCAAATAGTAGGATTTATTTTCTTCTTATGGCTGAATAATATTCCATTGTGTATATGTACTACATCTTCTTTATCCACTCATCTACTGATGGGCACTTAGGTTGCTTCCATTTATTGGTTATTGTAAATAGTGCTGTAATAAACATAAGAGTGCATAAGCCCATTTTCAAACTGGGCTCCTGCATTCTTAGGGTAAATTCCTGGGAGTGGAATTCCTGGGTCAAATGGTATTTCTATTTTGAGTTTCTCCACATTCTTGCCAACATCTGTTACTGTTTGTCTTTTGGATGTTGGCCATCCTTACTGGTGTGAGGTGATATCTCATTGTGGTTTTAACTTGCATTTCTCTGATGATGAGGGATGTGGAGCATCTTTTCATGTGCCTGTTGGCCATCTGATGTGGCCATGTGCCTGGTGTGGTGTAAGTGTCTGTTCAGATCCTCTGCCCATTTTTTAAATGGATTATTTGCCTTTTGTTTGTTGAGGTGCTTGAGCTCTGTATATAATTTGGATATCAACCCCTTATTGGATATGTCATTTATGAATATATTCTCCCATACTGTAGGATATCTTTGAGTTCTGCTTTTTAACGATTTTTTAAATATCATATTAATCTGAAGGCAATTACAGAACACTTGAAATGGTTTCTGTGAATTTTGTAAATATCTGGTAGTTAAACCATTTCTTTGAAAGCTGATAAACTGCATTGTTCCCTCATTATAGTGTAAGTTTTAGATTAAACAAGGTGCCCAAGATGGCCTTGGCTCTCCAAACCCCTCCTAAGGTCTGGGAAGGTGGTGTGAGAAAGAGCACTGGCTCTGGAGTCAGGAGAGGCTGGGTCCCTATCCTGCCCCCACCACCTGACTGTTCTGAACTGCTGTTAACCTCATCCCACAAACATGGCTGACTGCACCTGCCACAAAGGTGTGTAGCAGACAGCAAGTGTGATCGGGGGTCTGGAAAAGGCTAGCACAGGTGTGTGCACAGGGCTCCCCCCATGGGCATAATTCTAGTGGATATTGATGCTGTTCCAACAGTAGGGTCACTTCTTTTCCACTCTGAGAGGAAGAGAGGTGTGGCATAAGAGTGAAAGCTTGCTTCTTGCCAAGACCTGTCCGGGCCTGCCAATACCTTTCTGTCTAATCTTAGAATAATTGTGCCACCTGTGAATTAAACCACCTGCTCTCTCAACCCAGTGGTCAGCAAGTGTGAGGAGCAACTCAGGGTTTGTTATGGAATCTATAGGACAAGAGTCCAGGCCTCCAGGCAACTTGGAGTTGAGAAGAATGAAAGGACTCCAAGTCATTGAGCCTAGGGAGTTACTCTGCCAACATGAAGGTGACCTAGCATGGTGGGCCCTCAGAGGCCACCCTATCAACCTTCCAGCTCCCCAAGAGAGGTATATAAACTCCTCTGGATGACTTCCAAAGATGGGAACACTATCTTCCATCACAACTTTGTGGGTGGTCAACTGCCAGACTGGGTTCAAATTCTTCCTTATTTTGAGGTGTGATTTTTATCCATGCTTCTTTTCTAATCAATGCTATGTCCCTCAACCCACTGAAGAGCTTTAGAAGCTCCAGGGCTGCTTTCCCATAGCCTTGGGCCTTCCTCCTCCAGCACTTCTGAGCCCTTGGTTTGTCTCATCATCTGGCCTTTGATTCCTCCCCCTTGAAGTCACCTATTAACAGCTCCGCTCTACCTGAGCCTGACTCCCGGATAAGCCAGAGGCATAGCCCAGGACCTTGCATCTTCCCTATAGTGGCTAGCAGAACAGCTTGTAGGGGACCTTCAGAGAGTGGGCTAGCCCAGGCCAAAGGGCATCTGCCAGGGGTATCATTTAGCTGGAGGCTGCATCCTCTCAGCCAAGGAAGGAATGGGATCTAGGGGGTCTCTGGTTCTTAGGCACCAAGAAAATAACCCAGCAGACATCCAATGAGGGCCCACAGGGAAAGCAAGCTCCTGACACACTTCAAAATCCTGCTGCCACTCAATTCTCCTGTGTATTTCCCATTTGCAAAACAGGAGGACATGGTGAAATAGGGTAGTGCGTGACTGAGAGGCATCAAAAACAAATCACAGTGAGAGGAAAATTCACTCATCTTGGCAAACAGGAAACTCCTGTCTGCTAATGGGTCTGGCTATGTCCAAGGACAGGGCAAGCACTGCCCACTGTCTTGTGCAGCCTTCCACCTGGGTGAGGCTCCAGGATGGGTAGGAAGCACATGTGCTCAGTGATGCCAGGAGGCAGTGTGTGGCACGAGCAGTGTCTCCCATGGAGAGCCAAGAGACTATTGTTACCAACACATTCCCTCTCAGAAGCAGATTTTTTTTTCCAGGAAATCCTTGAAGAGACAAACATTCCTGAAAAGCAGACATTCCTGCCTGTCCTAATAGGATGGTGACCCTTTCTATTATATCTGCCTGACTTTCTCCAGTTCTCTAATGTGTAAAAATCTTGCATACAATTCTAGACCTAATAATAATAATAACAATAAATACAATTGTCTAATGCATTACAGACTGAAAGACTTTTTGCTGGTTGTCTAATTTTCACAAGG